TTACGTTGTATGTTAATGACCATCCTTGGATAATCCCACTCAAAAGCAATTGATCACATTCTTATACCTATCTATACCTATTTGACCGTCTGCTGCATCGAGATCCCTCGCGAGACGAGACTCCCGAGACTTTCCGAAAGGGGATCGAACGCCGTTCGGGATTTTCGGCCATTTTAACATTCGACCATTTGTAGTGTTCCCTATTATGCGACAAGTACGGTAAACGGCATTTGACTTACTAGTTTACTTGACACGAGCGGAGCGCTTTTGCTACGACCGTTATTTTTTGGATAAATTTTCGCAAAACAAGGCGACTTCATCCACTGACTGACATGACCGTCGAAATTGACAAACGTAAAAATTCAAAGCGCGGCAAATATCTCAGAAAACATCCGATTGCTCCCAAACCCGTTAAAATCCCCGGAAATATCCGAAGTGGCTCGGATCCGTGGGAAACGAAACTAACGAAAGCGACGCTTTCCGCATGCTAGACCGGTGTGTAATTAGGTATTTTACACACGGGAGTAGAAGAAAACCTTTTAAAACCCGAACCGACGATGCCAACAGACTGATAATAAGGGAATATACGCCGATCCGGGTCGCGACTGCGATGGCGGCTTTCCAGCCTTAATTGCGCCGAAATTTCGAGGACTTTTCCGTCCCTCCCCCCCACCCCTTCGTCGACTTGTTTACGAATTTTAACGCCGGAACGAAAATTTCCGAGATAATTTTTAATTAAATCTTGACGTTGACGTTCAATCGGCTGTAGCGATTTCCTTTCCCACGTGCCGATCTGAGCAGCGTCGATTAATTCGTCACGTTAATGGTCTCGGCTTCGCGAAAGATCCTCGGAAAGGACGGAACTATTTTCGCCCGTTTTACCTCGTTATAGAGCCGAAATTTACGAAATAATAGAAAATAATAAAAATCGGATTTAAAAAAGTGCTGTTTGAAAGACAAATTTAATATGCTTTAATGCGAGTTTAAACTGATTAAAATTTATTTCTGCCTTTTAGGTTTAGCATAGTAAAATAACTGCACGAGTCAAATGAACTTTTTTTTATTACTAAAAATTAATAGGGTTATTGACAATTAGCAACTCAACCCTTATTTTTTAATAGTGACTATGACATGCTCTTGACCAAATAACATCTCTCACTCGATTAGGCATAGATCTAATAAAGTTCGCTATTGTTTCTTTTGGAATGTCAAGCCATTCTACTGCAACAATAAGCTCCGGGATCGAGGTTGGAGTACGAAGTCTAGTTCGAATTCTAAATAAATATTCGATCGAAAACCGACTTCTGTAATGTAATCTTGCGCGATCCTTGCGATATGCGTCCTAGAAGTCTTCTCTTCACTTTTTTTCATCGATTACTAGCAAATAGGCATACTCTGGTCTTCAGATGATCCCGTGCAAAGCGTAGACGTGCTTTTATGAGCTGAAGTAAGTTTTGGACCAATTGCAGTTGTTTTTGGGGTCAGGTTATTTTCCTTCAGTCTTCTTCTCACTGTCCACTGACTAATAGCGACTCTTCGAACTTTATGGAGCCGTTGTTGCACTTGAACCGTATTAAGGTGGCGATTTCTTATTATTGTTGACACAATTCCTTGTAATTCGCCTTCTGCCTTTTCCAGGGCTCCTGTATTCGAACATCACCTAAATTAGTATAGTTAGGTTTTATGTATTTCTGAATGAGAATCCGTTGATACTTTATTGTTTAGTTCTCGTTTTATTATTTTTCCGGGTTGACCGCGACAAAGAAGTTATTCTTCTTCCTTTCTTCGCGGTATTAAAGTCTTGAGCTTCACTGGTCATCTATACCCGAGAGCGCTCGAAAAAGGACGGGCCCCGGGTTCGATCCTCGGTAGGAAAAAAAAATGAGTCAACATTCTCAATATCTTACACCTAATGACGGATTGCTTCTAATATGCCCGTTGGCTCAGCGTTAAAGTCGGCGTTCAACATCAGACGGACCCGGGTTCGATCCTCGGTAGACGCAAAAAAAATGTAATGAGAGTGAAATCTATCCAGCAAAAGAAAATAATCGGTCATTAATGAAAGATGTTTACAGCCTTAAGCGCAAACGATATTTCACCCTTCACCCCCGCTCCTACGTATTGAAATAATTGAGAATTTGGTCGGTTCTAATAAATTCCTGAATAAGAAAGAATTCGATGCCAATTTATTTTTTAAAGAATCCCTAATAGTACTTCCCATTTTTCAGGGACCTGTCTAATAAAAAAAAATCAAAATATATATATATATATATATATATATATATATATATATATATATATATATATATATATATATATATATATATATATATATATATATATATATATTTTTATTTAAAAAATATGTATATATATATATTTTTAAATAAATACTTTTTCATTGACCATAGATGCTGAAAATTTCATAAATTTATCTCTTAAGGTTGATTTTTAATCCATTTTTTAATTAAAAGTGCTTAAAATTTTCATTATAAAAAAAAGTTGTTAAAATCAATATTTTAAGAAATCGTTTTTAGGATCAATTTTCCATCATAAATACTTATAAAATATATATATAGGTTAAATGATCTTACTCATATGCATATGAAATGAGACAGAATTAAATTCTAAATCCAATAAAAGTGTTAAATACAATATCGATAATCAAGTCGCTTTTGCTATCGACCCGATTCTGCCAGGCTAAAACGCAACTGAGGCTTTGTCGCGTTGTCCGATTCGTTTATTGTCGTTTTATCTCCGCATAACATTACCGATAACGTCGGACCACGCCTCATTAAGCAGCGTCGCCGTGTAGCTGCTCGGAATACATTAAAATCATGGGACGTCGTCTGAAATTTACACTTTGATAGGTCGACCTTAAGTTCTGCGTATCGAATATCTTTGCAAATTACCAGACATTCTATTAAATTAGCGGAGCAGATGTAGTCGACATATTAATCATGTCGGCGGCGTAGTAAACAAACTACGTGACATCAAAGGGTTCGCCCTACTCGACGGTACCCACCCGCTGACTGCGTATAAGCTAATACGAATAGTTCCCCTCACTTAGCAACGTTTTCTCCATTAATAACGGAATAACCTCGCGCCTAATGGGTTCGAACATGGCCGCTGGAGTTTCGTTTTGTCGTTTCAGGATTCAAGGCACAAACTCATAAAAACAGGTCTCCGAATTTAAGAGTAAAGTCTGTTCGTACATATAAGAAAGTGACTGACTGATACGAATTAAGGAAAGACCCGGGCAAACTGTTAGGAAAGATACTAAGCAATATTTATTTATTTATGTATGCATTTATGTTTAAATCTAAAATAAAATTACAAATTATTTTTATTACCCACTTAAATTACTGAAAATTATTCACATAATATATCAGTGTCGCTATCGCTATCATCGCCTGTTCTAATTATGATTTGTTCTATATTATTTGCAATATGGATATACGATTGTCTGATTTTTCTATATGTTTAACAGAATTTGCCCAACTTTTTGGAGGGATGTTAAAAACTTCGGTTTCTATAAGTTTGAGAGCCTTAAAACTGTAAGCCCTAGATTTTTTGCATAATTATCACAGACGTATTCCTTTTGTAAGTTCAAGCTTTGTTGAACCTCAATTAATTGATTTTTTTTTATAATCTTCATGAAAATAAATGTCGTTATTATACATGTAGTTTTGGATTGTTACTTTTGTGTCACACGAGGAAGGGGTTTTAGTCAACTGTCTACTGTGATAACTTTCATTGTCCATTACAATGATGCTATGTTTGGTACAGCAGTGGTGTCTTCATGGTAATCCAGAGAAGAATCTTTAATATTTTTCGCAGACAGAGAAAGTCCATTTGCAAAATGGTTATTCTTTTACCTATTTTTGATGGCGCGTTTGTTTTACACTTATTAGTTAAGTCAACCCAACCCTTTTCCGGGGTATCATAAGTGTCGAACCAGGTTTCATCCAAGCCAATAATTGGCCTTTGTTGTTTTCTCTAAATCCTAATTTTTTCTAGATATTCCCGCCGCCATTTCCGAATTCTAAAAGATTCCATTAAAACTTGAATTTTGTCAATTTTTTTAAATCTAAAACCCATGTGTTGAATACACTTCCATAAGGTAGTTCTGCCACATTTAACACTGGTTTCATCTTTTTCAAGCCTCCTAGTTAAGATATCTAATGTAGGCACGCTTTGTTCCTCGTAAAACTGGTAAATATTTTTTCACTTTCATCTACACTGAAGAAAATGTCCGCATCGCTTCTTTTTTTCCTCACTGAAATGGGATTGATGTTGATGTTGGAATTTTTGTCAATGTGGCCGTTTCTTCTTGCTTCTTGCTTGCTGGCACAACGTTCAATGAGAGTAAAGTAATTATTGTTTATAACTTCCTTAGTCTGTATAGAATAGTATTTTCTACATTTGGGCGGGAGCATCTCCTGAGATACACTAGACTCGCACATATTTTGCATAATTCGTACACGATTCAAAACACGCTTATTACACACGAAATAAGAATGATTACTAATAAACTTAAACTAGGTAGTATACCAAACCAAAGAATTTAAATTCGGAAACTTGAGGTAATAATCTTGTTGCATTGTATGTCAATGACCACCCTTGGATAATCTCATTCAAAAGCAATTGGTCACTTTCTTATATCTATGAACAGACTTTACCTGATGTGCCCGGTATAGAGTGAGAAATTGGTTATACAGAGTGGATTAATACATAGCTTTGTATGGAGACTTAATAGTACAACAAATTTCGTTCGTAATACAGAATTTTACGTTATACGCTATATACGCTATAGGGAGTTTTCAGAGTTTTCACTGTACTTCCAAAATGAATGGAAAGACTGTGTACGTTAATCCAACTTTTTATATCCACCCTCGCGCACGGAAATAAAAATTTGCCGTTTTGCCCGATCGATCTCGACCCGCGTTCCAACCCGTTTTGTTGAAAATAAATCCGACTTTTCTCGTTTCACGTTGCAGGCCAATTTTCGGGCAGCAGCTCCAGCGTGACGGGATTCAGTACGCTGAACAGCAGGAGGTCCAGGACGAGCAGGAGCAACAGAGCGAACCGACAGAGCACCATAAACAAGTCGTTCGAGAGCGATTGTAGTGAGTTTTCGTTTTATTTTATCCCTCCTAAAAGCTGCGACGCGAACTATATCAGCAGGAACAGAAATACAAATTTATATTTCGTCGAGCATGTCGTTCGTCCATATGCGTAGCTGTCCGTAAATTCTTTTTAAATTATTTCCAACGATAGGAGATAAACAAAGAGAGTTCAGACGAACATAACCTCAAAAATCCGCCTTTTTTGTTTCAAAGGACACGGTCAAAAATAAGGAGCAATTAAACAATTTTTCTACGCGGTCGTAATCTTGGTTCGATTTGGCAACAGCGCAATCGCTGTACCGCTGAAACAGACGCCTGCTGATAGGCAACGCTTGATCGGACGCCAAAGGAGTTTTAATCTTTCGAAAGCTCCGATTTCGATTAAACCGAAAGCAGCTTCGGCATTTGCAATAATAATTGTCGAAAAAAATCATAAGATCGCGGATTAATCGCCATGGAAACTTTTTGTTTCTAGATTACTTTTTGCAGCCCTCATTTGATAAAGACACGGTGTTGTCGAATCAATTGTCATGTCATAATATATAATTTCGTGAAAATCTGAACTTTTAGTTCTTATTTATTTTGATAAATGGATTTTCATCAAGTAAAAGCCACCTCAGTTCAATAAGATTTTGGTGTCAATTGACAAATTTTTTCCTATTCTAGATATAAAACTAATCTTTTTAGACAATTTATTCATTATGTAATCGGCATGTGTATGAAACGTCAAATTAGAGTAAAATATGGCACCCAATTTCGTTTTCATTATTTTTTTTAATCTAATCTGATAAACCGTTTGAGAGGAATATTATTAGTTTCCAATTCGTTGGTAAATCATGGCGTTTGCATAGTTTTCGTTTTGGACGGAAGCTGACTGAGACTTTCTTCTCAAAAGCTTCCATAAAGATCTGTCCATATATTTGACCGTTACACACAAGCATTTCTAAAGGTTTGGTTCCAGATTCTCAAATTTTAATGTAATTCAGGGACTAGACGTCTAAACTAACCGAAATATCGTTTAAAACACCTAGTATCAAGATTTGAAAACACAATTTGCAATAAACTTTCTACTTTAACCTTCCCCAGAATAGCAAAACCCGATATGCTTTGCTTGGTGCTAAACGTCTTTCTTCATATCCAGCTTTTCCGTTGTGCGCGCTTCGTTAAAGACAATTTCGCGTTATCTACGACTGACTCTATTGCCAATAATGCAGCTGCTACGTTTTCACCGTAGTTTTTCTTTGAATTCTTTATATGCGTTTGTTTCATTCAATCTTTTTAATATTCTCTATATCTTTGGCATATTTTAAAATATTCTAGTCTGTCGACTTTCCAAATTTGTGTCTGTGTTTGTTGGAGTTGACGTCTTGGTCTGTCTGATGATGCCCTTATGAAACTGTATAGTTTTGTGAAACCAGGTATGTTTGAAGATTTGTTTTATTTTATATACAACTTTGTTTTGTGAAGTTTTTATTAAAAATAAATAATGATACTTCCCTCTACATCTGATCTAACATTTCTTTATCGTCCTCGACAAGCAGAACTTTTTGACATTTCGTAACGATGATTTGCAATGATTGAAATTCTTTGGACAGTTTCATTAATTCGAGGAAATCTTCTATCTACATTAGGTCAATGTAGGAAGCCCCTAAAACATTTCAGAAATAAAAAACATATCTCTCTAATTGAGGTCGAAAATTTTGGCATAAGGAGTGGTAGATTCCTTTCCTTTTTGTTTTTTTTTTTTATAATCCCAGCCCTCGCGTTTCACGCGTAATCAACCAGGGAGTTCGTTCATAAAATTAAACAGTTCCGCCCTTCTTTTCGATTCCGTTCGCTTTGGCAAACAGCCGGCCCGAAAGGCGACGACACACTGGCAATTAGGAAAAGCTTTTAACGCGTCGCAGATAAATTTCGCGCGAACTTCGACGGATAAAACTGGGAAAGTAGTCGTTTTCCATTAAAAAAAAGAAGCGCATCGCACGTCCTGAATTTTATTCGGGGCTGTGTAGAGGCTATTCGCGTAAAACCCCTGCCTAGCATAGATCGGCGGGTTTACAGGGAGAATTATAGAATCGGAAAGCGGCAGAGCAGCGACTAACGGGATTTTGTTCGACGCCGCTCCGGTCTGCTTCCATTTTTTGACATACGACGTGACTAATAAAATGGTATCGGGGAGAAAGAACGGTGGAAAACAGACAAACACGTGCGGTAACTATTTTTTGGACCGCGCCTGCCAATCAGAAAATTTGTTAGATGGACGCATTTAGTTCTGAGCGTGACGAAATAAAAGTGGAACGGAACGAGTCACGAAAAACGGAGATAATATAATAATAGATTTTTTTATAAATTTACGAGCCATGCTACTTAATGTGGAAAAAAAGGCTTTTAAAAAATTTACATTAAATTTTTAATCGATTGGCGAAAAGCTGTGAAAGCGCCGAGAGGTCGCCGAATTTAAAATGTGGGTTTTAGTTTAGTTATAAAAATTTCTGAGAAACAAGTCATAATTTCTAACATAACTCTTTAGTAAAGGACATCAGATATGCAATCTTTAGACTGGAAGTATCAGACTACAAAATATTGTGATATTCCAGCATTCGATATGAAGTTTTTTTTATTACAGCTCCCTACTTTATGATGGTTAAATATTTCTCGTATCTCAGCTAAAATATTTTGGCTTAAACGCAAATAAGTCCGATATCGACACACATAGAAATTTGAAAATTCTTTCAGGTTTCCATCATATTTTAAACCAGAACTCGACACACGAAAAACATATAATTTGATTTACTTAAATAATATGCTGAAACTAGCGTGGTGTAAAAGTCACATCCAAATAAATTTCATTATTGTTATGTCAAAAAACTTCAAACTGCCAATTGTTATTATTATATCCATAAAAACTTTCTCAATTAATGAAAAAAAATGGAATGAAATTTAAACATTTTGACCTTTGGTGTTCTCCAATTTAAGGATTGGTTATTATTTATAAATTATCCTGTATATGTGTTGTATCGTTTCGTAATATCCCTTACGTCAGAAATTGTTTCTTAGAAATTCTTACTTATTTTTTTAGAAATTCTGACTTTTTTTTTCAGAAAATATGACTTGCTTTCCATAAATTCTGAAACATCAGAAATTTTGACTTGTTGCTTAGAATTCGTGACTTATTTTTTACAAAATTTAGCTTTTTTCAGAAATTTAAAAATAGGTCAGAAATTTTGACTTATTACTCAGAAATTCATACTTGGTTTTCAAAACTACTTAAATAAATCAGAAATTTTGACTTGTTACTCCGAAATTTTTACTTGTTTTTCAGAAATTCTAACTTAAGTCACAAATTCTGACTTGTATTTTAGAAATACGGAAGTAAGTCAGAAATTTTGACTTGTTACCCTGAAATTCTGACTTATTGTTCAAAATGCCGACTTTTTTCAGAAATTCGGAAATAAATCAGAAATGTTGACATGTTACTCCGAAACTCTTACTTTTTTTAAATTCTGATTTGTTATCCACAAATTCCGAAACAAATTTGAAATTGAGCCTTGTTTTTCAGAAATCCAGATTTATTTCTCAGAAATTCTGACTTGTTTTTCAAAAATTCTGAAATACATTAGAAAATTTTACTTTTTACTCTGAAATTCTGATTTCTTTGTCAGAACTAGAATTAGAAATTTTGACATTTTTTTCAGAAATCCTGATTTGTCTCTCAAAAATTCATAAATAAATCAGAAAATTTGACTTTTTACTCAGAAATTCTTATTTGTTTTTCAGAAATTCTAAAATGAATTACAAATTGTGACTGGTTTTTCAGAAATCCTGATTTGTCTCTCAGAAATTATGACTTGTTTTTTAGAAATTTTAACTACTTCGTTAAACTAACACCTACATTTTAATGTATTTTTTTAATGCTTTTTTCGTTGTCCCAGTCCTAGTCCTAGATTCCGTTTTCCAGGCATGAGCCATTTCGAAATATTTTTTAATAAATTTTGAAAAATAAAAATATGAACTGCTCGGAAATGTACCGGATGTTGCGGTTAAGAGGGAAAACTGAAAACTGATATTTTTTTTAAGTAAATTACTTTCTGTAAGTGACAAACAACCGTGACAGACCGTGCCGTTTTCGTCTATCATACAGGGTGCGCGAAATACGGGCTCGTTGTTTTCCAGGTAGCAACTACTGCGGATGCTCTGGAGGACTCGGCATATCTCATCCGGAAACCTTGACCGTTACCCTGACCGCCGACAGGGGCGTCGGCTACGGGTTGACCATCTCTGTGGGCGACCACACCGAAACCAGATCCGCAGACATTCTCGTCACCAGGATAGCGCCCGATTCGCCAGCATACAGGTATATTTCGACCAGAAATATAGTGCTTTTATGACCGACCCCGTGATTAACTTTGCCTACTGTTTATTACTCCAAAACCGCAGTCCGTCTCAGGAATTTATCTACCTACACTAACAAGCGGGATATGAGTATGTTTTCAATCTTGAAAGTACAAAGTAACAATTTATTACGTTCTATTTGATTACATTTCTACATTAACTATTAAATATAATAATAAAGTGTGTCACTTAAAAAATCGTCGCTATCGCTACTGTCGTCACCTAGTTTAATGATTGACTTCGCCACTAATCGTTCTCGATAAGTATTTTCATCTTTTATTACTCGTTTTGCAAAGTCAGACCAGCTTTGTAATTATATTTTAGTTACCTCTTGCCGAATTACGTTTATGCGTTTTCAACTAAGACCAAATCATTTCAATCGGGTTAAATATACAAAGATACGGGGGTAAACTCAAGATTTCATATCCGTTTTGTTGCGGCTATTGAAGCGATTTTGTAGTCTTTATTAAAATGTTAAAATACCTCCGTAATACATACGAACATATTGCAATTCGGATTAAACTCTTAAGAACGTTACATATCACCTGATTTTAAAAACTTAAAACGTCAAAGCAATGAATGCACTACATTTTTGGTCGTACTATAACTATGCCCACTCGCTAGTGGCACGAACGCCACTGGAAACCAACGAAACGGGATCGTTTCAAGCCGCGCGAGTGCGGTAGAACCGGCAAAAGGCTCTCCGGTGGGAAACGTTCCGTTTCCGCTGCATTATTAGTATTTTAGTTTTGTTCGATTGTTTGTTTCCGACGCGACGCTGTTTAAAATGGGGTTCGGCCCTCCCGGGACGCGTTGCCCCGCTTATGACGCGAGCTTCGAATAGCAAAGACAACTTTCGCGATAACGGCGTTCGGTTGAAATGGGAGGGCATGAAGATCGTTCTCCGTTTATGTCGCAGATGTCGACGATACTTTCGGAACATCGATACACCAAACAATATATTTTAATTGCGGTGGTGTGGATTTGGTTACAATTTTACTCCTCAATGTATTGGACTTAAATCGGAATTTCCGAAAAACAAGTGAAAACTTCTGAAAAACAAGTCGGAATTTCTGAGTAAAAAGTCCAAATTTCTGAAAAAAAAGTCAGATTTTATTAAAAATAAGTCAGAATTTCTAAGTGACAAGTCAAAAACTTCCTTATTTATTTTAGTATTTCTGTATAACAAGTCGGAATTTGTAAGAATCAAGTTAAAATTTTTGATTTATTTCAGTATTTCTTAGAAACAATTCAGAATTTCTGAGTAAAAAGTCAAGAGTTATAATTTATTTAAGACGTTCTGAAAGACAAGTTATAATTTCTGAAAAACAAGTTGAATTCTCTGACAAACAACTCAGAAGTTTTAAGTAACATGATTTTTTTTATTATTTAAGAATATCTGAAAAAATTGAGAATTTATGAAAAATAAGTTAGAACAGTATTATTGCAGTATTTCTGATAAACAACTCAGCATTTCTGAGCAATAAGTCATTTTTTTTATTTATTTCAGTATTTCTGAAAAGAAAGTCAGAATTTCTGGAACAAAATAAGAATTGCTGGGTAACAAGTCAAAATTTCTGATTTTTTTCAGTATTTCTCAAAAAACAAGTCAGACTTTCTGAGTAACAAGTCAACATTTCTGATTAATTGCAGAATATCTGAAAAAATCTGATTTTATGAATAATAAGTTAGAATTTCTGATCGCAAGTCAATTTTTGTGTTAATTGCAGTATTTCTGATAAACGAATCAGCATTTCTGAACAATAAGTCAATTTTTTTTTATTTATTTCAGTATTTCTGAAAAGAATGTCAGAATTTTTGAAACAAAATAAGAATTTTAACATTTGTGAAAGTTTGTCGTAGCTTTGAAGTTCGACGAGACGTGAAAGTCGTTTTATACAAAAGTTCCATAGTGGTCCGTGACGATCCACTACTCCATTTTTATTCAAGTTCCAAAGATATTCACAAATTTTGAACGAGAAAGCAAAGAAAAACCAACAGAACTTGTGTTCTCAGGCCGTTCGACTCCAGAATTTTAAGAATGTGCAGTAAACACCGTGAAATTTCAGCCGAATATTTCGATGTAGTATATTATTGTGAAGTCGGATGCCTAAGCAGGATGCTGAAACGGGAGCCTGAGATATTATCGCATATTATTGCATTAGTGGTTGTACTCGTACGTGTCCCAATGTGGCATTGTTGTTGTCTATACCGACTGTATTCTGTATATGTTCTCTAATGCCAACAATTTTATAGAACAGTACAGTCGCTTATCCCATACTTGTCTCGATGTTACTCGGAAAGGAGGAAAAATCAAATAGAACACCCTATTATACTTTCATTAATAACTCTCAACTATTATATTTTTAGTAATGTTTTTAAGATGATTTGTAACAAGGGATAAATAATTGGCATGGCGAAAAAAGTACTTGAAAGGACCGATACCACACGCGCATCGTCTATCCGGTTACGGCGGTTGATTTAATTAATTTGGCAGACAAATTAATTGCATGCCCGAACGAAATTCAATATCGATCGTTAATCTATCACGCCGAACGCAACCTTATTATCTGTAATCGAATAGAAAACCCGCCGGGGGGTATTAAGTTAGTCGGTTCTGGCAACGTCAAATTTTAATCGGTGATTTTCGTTGTTTTAAAAAATTTTTTCATCGCAAAATCGTAAATTTGAGGAATGACTTATATTTTGACACCCAAATATAGGGTTCATTTTGAAAGATAGAAAAAGAAGGCGTAAATACAAAAATGCAAATGCCAGAAAAAATAAACAACTATCCGAATCTGTCAAAATGTATGTAATATGCAGTAAAAACTCCCCATAGCGAACGTCGATACGGACTTACACTAAAAAAACTAAGAAAGCCAAAATTTAAAGATTTTGATCGGGCAATGTCGAAGTGGTTCCAACGGCAACGTCTTAAAAATGTACCACTCTCTGGACCTATCGTCAAACTAAAAGCAGAAAATTCCGCTGAACAGCTTGGCATTATCGATTTCGAGACTTCGGGAGGATGGTTGGGGAAGTTCAAACAGAAACACGCTATAAATTAGGTAGAGATAAGTTGCGGAGCCCGTGATGTCGACAGAAACGTCACTAACGATTGGCTGGAGAAGACGTGGCCAAAACCAGCAGAAAAGTGCCCTGCTGACGACATTTTTACTGCTGACGAAACTGGTACTTTTTACAACAGTGTTAGTAGCTGCCAATATGAGTGGGAGAGAAAAAAGAAAGCTAGTCGTGACTGGAAAATCAACTAACCCACGATATTTTGACACTCCTATCGTCATGCAGGACTTATTACCGAGACAGAATGCGAACAGGACTTGAAGATGATCAGCCACTAAGCGAGTGGATAAAGCAGTTTCAAACAACAATTACGTTTACAAGTGAGGAGTTGCAAGATTTTATGGTGATAGATCAGGATGTGCCTACAACAGCAGACTTGACAGAGCAAGTCATATTACAACAAGCAAGAAAGGGTGAGGAAGAGAATCTCCAAACATTTCTTATTGCACTTTTTTTTTCTATCTTTCAAAATTAACCCAAAACATAATGAATAACCCTGTATGTACGTTACCGCAAATTTTCTTATCCCTACATTTTGATTTAAACAACTTCTATAATATTTTTTTTATGGTTCCAGTAAAATCCTGGGTTGTTTCTTGGACTCTAAACTCCGTTCCGTTACTGAACATCTTAAAAAAGCTTATCGTACTTTAAAACTAATTGTTTCTTATAGACAATACTTATCACAAGTGAGAGATATTCTATGGTGAATGAATTCAAAGACGCCAGAGAATCTCAAATTTTCTCCGAACTGCTGCATAATGCGTTAATAGATTAATTCGACTTGAGGACACGAGTTAGCTCTCTGAACTGGTCTGGTCTGGGTGGAGTCTACTTAGAGCAATGTTTAAATCTAGTATTCTCCATTGTCAGCAATACTTGTTCATTTTTGTTCAACATTTTCTATTCCCCTTCTTTTATTCCTACCTTTTGCCTTTTCTATCCGTCTTCGATATTTAGTTTTCTTTTTAACAGTATCCTTTTGCCTTTTGCTGCATGTTCTCCAAAATTGATTTCCACTTACGTTTATCTATTTCAATTTTTCATGCTGTTCGAGATAAACGTTTTCATTATCGATACACACAGCGTTAAAGAGCTCCCTCCCTGAAAACCCTCAACTATGTACAGGGTGCTGCAAACTCGAGGGGCCTCCATGGCTTTAAGCATGTGCAGCGTAATTAGCGCAAAAGTAATATGCACGTTACTGGCTCGATTTTCAAGAGAAGTCGAAAACTAAAAACCGCATCGTGATATGTACCAAAGCGTTTCTGGGCTACAGGGTGATTCTTAATAATGTGCGTTTCTAAAAACAATCTATAACTTTTTTATTTGTAAAGATAGAGATTTGCATTAAAAACATTTTAAATCTACCCGTACATTTTTTACCTCTTTGAGTGGGATAAGTTACATCAAAAAATAGTTAAGTATGCCTGAAACGAGATGTGCCATGTATGGGTGCAATAACAACTATTTTGATGAAAAAGCAAGTTTTTGAAAATGTAGTTTTCATCGCTTTCCCAAAGGGAAAGATCTAGTATCCCGAACTATTCGGAACGAGGGGATAGTTCGATGTAGAAGCGAGGACAAACTTAATCCAGATAAAAGCTTTGTCTGCTCAGTTCATTTTATTGAAAATGATTACGAAAGAGACTTACACAATGAGTTATTAGGTTTTTTTGTGTTAAATTCACCACAAAATTTAAATTTTAGGTTTACCTTTAAAAAATTCCTGTTCCCACCCTATTATTATTTAATCAGAAGCCACCACCAGAAGCAGGATTATCTAGATCAAAAAGACTTCATTCCAAAAATGCCAAAAAAGAAGCTCAGCAGGTATTGTCTGAGCTTCTAGCAACAACATCGAATGCCACAAGTGAAATTCTAGAGAAAAATCCATCTCCAGAACCCATCTCCGAATCCCAAATAATAAATTATAAAATATATATAAAATTATAAATTATAAAATAAAGATTTAAGGATATGCAGTAATATGTATTTTTTATATTATATTCATACGAGGGTACAATAAATACATATTATTATTTACCTACCACCTATAAATAGTTGTTATGTATGGCTTATATATTTTTTGTTTTTTAATATGTTCTTTAATATATCCAAAAATACGGATTTCTAGTTTATAAGTATGGGAATGCGCATTTTTTTGCGAATTCCCGCAACTAGCGAAATCATCAGTTTCCCTCCGGTTTATTTAATTTATCGCCATAGCTATATGGCGCCAACCCCGCTGATTCGGTTACTTCCACATCAGCGGCGGTTGTAACCGTAAATCCACAACGAAATTCGTCGATTGAGGCGGCCGCAGTTAAAGGGCCATCGGTGTCGATCGTGACGCCTGCAATGCGCCCGATAGCAACAATGGTGGACCTGAAAACCAAAACTTTATTGAACTGAGAAACGCAATTTCACCTAACGGTTCGATTCGGTGAGAAAAAATTCTGAAAAGTTGATAAAATAAACAATGTTCAGAACTTCGAAGTGACGAGGAGTGAACAGTCTCAGAGTGGAAGCCTCTTTCTATTCGGAATAATATAAAAGGCAGTATTTTTTTCACAAACTAATGAAACACTTTCAAACATGACTCATGAGAAAGCTGACGATCTTCATTTATTTTTTACCCAAAATTACGTTCAAAATTTGAAAAACCGACGTCAACACTAGTGAAACCATCAAAAATCCTGACATCGTAATTCGAAAAGCAGGAAAAAATTCAAGATATTCTTACAAACTTATTCTGTCGTCAACTCCAAAATTGTCATTTTTCGGTATATAAAGCAGCAGCTACAGTCTGTTCATAGATATAAAAAAGTGACTAACTAACGAATTAAGGAGAGACCCGGGCAAGCTGTAAGAATGGCCGAACAGGTCCGTATTTTGCTTAGAATTTAATTATTAATTGTGGTTTTGTTAATAAGGATACTAAACAATATTTATTTACTTATGTATTACGTACTTAAATTACTTAAAAATATTCACATAATATGTCAGTATCACTATCGCTATCATCGCCTGTTCTAAATATTATTTGCTCTATATTATTTGCAATATGGATATACGATTGTTCAGCTTTTTCTATATGTTTCACAGAATTTGCCCAACTTTGTGGAAGGATGTTAAAAACTTTGGTTTCTATAAGTTTCAGCACATGGGAGTTAACACGGGGAAAACATTGTTACGACGAATGGCAGATTTCAGTTGGTGCCAAACATGTTCAATGGGATTAAATGTACAGTGGTAAGGTGGAATCCTTAAAACTGTATGCCCTAGATTTTTTGCATAATTATCACAGACGTATTCCTTTTGTAGGTTCAAGCTTTGTAGAACCTCATTTAATTGCTTTTTGGTATAATCTTCGTGAAAATAAATGTCGTTATTATACATGTAGTTTTGGATTTTTGCTTTTGTGTCACATGAAGAAAGGATTTTAGTCAACTGTCTACTGTGATAACTTGCATTGTCCATTACAATTACGCTATTAGGAGGAATGTTTGGAACTAGTTGTTTTTAAACCAACTTTCAAATAAATCGGCGGTGGGGTCTTCATGGTAATCCAAAGAATAATCTTAAATAATTTTCGCAGACAGAGAAAGTCCAACTATCTTTAGAGCCAGCATGCAAAATAGTTATATTTTTACCTCTTTTTGATGGCGCGTTTGTTTTACACTTATCAGTTGAGTCAACCCAGCCCTTTTCCGGGGTATCATAAGTGTCGAACCAGGTTTCATCCAAGTAAATAATTGGCTTTTGTTGTTCTCTGTAAATCCTAATTTTTTCTAGATATTCCAGTCGCCATTTCCGAATTCTAAAAGATTCCATTAAAACTTGCCTTTTGTCAATTTTTTAAAATCTAAGATCCATGTGTTGAATACACTTCCATAAGGTAGTTGTGCTACAATTTAACACCGGTTTCATCTTTTTGAAGCCTCCTAATTAGGATATCTAATGTAGGCACGCTTTATTCCTCGTATCGCAGTTAAATTTTACGCCGTATTATATCTCACACTTTCATCTCCAGTCGAGAAAATGTCGAAATCGCTTCTTTTTCTCGTCGCTGAAATGGGATTATTCACAATTTTCCATACAGTTGATGTTCAATGAGAGTCAAATAAACGTTGTTTATAACTTCCTTAGTCTCAATAGAATAGTGTTTTCTACATTTGGGCGGGAGCATCTCCTGCATAATTCGCACACGATTCAACACATGATTCAACAAGAATGATTACAAATAAACTTAAACTAAGTCGTATACCAAACCAAAGAATATTAATTGGTCACTTTGTTATATCTATGAACAGACCATAGTTTATAATATTACATTTGATAAAGACAGGGTGTTGTCAAAACAATTGTCATGTGAATATATATAATTTCGTGAAAATCTAAACTTTTAGTTCTCATTTATTTTGTTAATAAGGTTAGTAAAAGTAGTGCAAAATATTTGCCTTACAACATCGGAATTTCGATAAAGCAAACACCGATTAATTTTGCAGAAGGGAATATTGGCACTTGTTAGTGCGTTATTTTCGATATGGACGGCGACGAGGGTCCCCGAATCGCAACACGGACATCTAAAGCGGATTAAACAAAACTGACGCGTTGTTTTGATTTCGCGGACCGTCATCCCAGCAAATCCGCGTAAAATAACTCTGTTTACGTATCGACGAAATCACGAAACACCGAACACGGACGCGGGTACGGTACGGTGGTTTACACTTCGTAAAGGTCGATTTACATTGAACAGATAATTTTGTGTGACGTCATCGACGAATTTTTTTTTTAGCTAGGTATTTCCAGATGTACTCAAATGTACGAATGTTCTCCTAACAACAAAGAACAGATTTAGTCACTAATTAACGATATACGAATTGCACAACCGCACAAATCATTCAAAATTAACCGTATCGGAGCAATTTATTGTTAACACAAAAAAACTAGTACTGTTTCCAACTTTGCGGTTCTTATAGTATTAATTAATTATAATATCATTTATGATTTACGCGATCGCCTCTAAAAAAGCGTTTTTTAGGTGCGGCTGTCTTCAAGTGGGCGATCGTATCATTTCGGTGAATCACCAGGCGAACTTGACCTTGCAAGAGGTCACGGCCATCTTGGAAATGGGCAGCGATTCTGCCGGCGGCCGACAGATGTCGCTGACAACCGAGTTCGACGTCGCCGACACCATAGTGCCCTCTAGCGGCGTGTTCACCGTCAGGTTAGCGAAAAGGGGACCCGGCCTGGGTATCACCATAACAGGTACGAGATTCACATGCTAGATGGCGCTCACATATCGACGAAACGGTAATATCTCGATGAACCGAGATAATGTCGCCTAGGGATTGTTATTTGTTATTGTTATTACAAAAACTTAAATACGTGTTTAATTGTCTAACAAAAGCTAAAATTGCGGGTATAAGGGATGATTCTAGATGAGAAAAGAAGAAAATATCTGAGCCCGGCTCGTGTATATAAAGTTGCGGCTCCGAAAATAAAGAGGGGTCGGCCGGGGTCGCCGCTTAACGGTCGGGATCAGAGTTTCAGGTGAAGGATTCCCGGGGTCAACTCAGGACGGCCCTTTATGGCGATTTAATCCGAACTTTCTCTATCGGAAAATCTCCGGGACCGGATTCGTCGTAAAAAAAAAACTCGAAATTTACGAGGGACTTTTTTTTGCGACTCCTTAAATTCGCTTCGATTTATCAAACGCGATAAATTTCCCGTGTGGTCTTTGAAGTTTCCCCAAATGGACGTTTTATTTGAAACAATATATAACTATATAACCAAATGCTAATTTCGGAAAATATAGCTTGCCATTAAATATGGGAAATTTTCCAAAAGTTGGCAACGCTGCAATCCTAAACGCTGTCTAACCTATTTCCATGTTGGGTGTTTAAAGTCTTTTCGGAGCTCGTACTGATGTGAAGGAAAAATGGGCATTTTACTTCCATCAAAACAAATCAATTAGCCGATGTTCGCCACAGATTCAACCACTCTCTTCTCCTTTCCGCCATTACGCCCCAAGTTCAAGTGATTTAAAGAAGGTAAAATTAAAATCTTCAGTTTTACTGTATAAATTCTTGTTTTACTATCGTAATCTGACACTTGTGGAATGACTCGAATCGGACGGGATCCTATTAGAGTAACGTCAACGAAAAAGAAGAAAAATTGGGTCATAACCCGTCAATAAAACCAACGAGATGACGCCAGCACGAAATTTCGGTTGCAAAACGTTCATCGTTGCAAAAAAAAATGCCTCTCGTAACGAATTTTCGCCGACGTTGTAAGTTTTTAAGCGGTGTTGTTAAGACTTTGTGCACGCCGAAACGCCTCTCCAAACGCGGAGAGGCTTTGTGTCGCTGATAAAGAGCGCTGACTGCGTGGGGAATAATTAGCGGAGTATTTTTTTCTCCCTCTCTCTCGGCGTTTTAATCGCTCTCGAGATATTAGAAATTCAGAACGTATTTCTCGAGTGGCTATTTTACGAACCCCGTCAAGGAAATCATTTTTAAAGGTTCTTTCTGATTGTTCGGTAAAAAATCATCGTTACGGATTAATTTGGGACACGCACTCGGCAATGTTTGCAATGATGATTGCCCCACATCTTTTGAACAGTTGTCCAGTGCGCAAAAAAAAGAAGAACTAGGCTTCGCTCTCCTATGCGTGAATGAATGCCGCTAGCTGCCAGATTGTACTGCCATTATAGTTAATTTAATAAATCAGTAAATTACCGAGCGACATCTTATTCAGTCGGAAAAGTGGCCGTACCTCTAGCTGCGATTTTAATCTGCGTCGCGCCATCTATCGCGTATCATGATAACTCGCGCATTGACAATATTTATTCGTTTTCGTGGAAGAAAAAGCGCTTTTTTTGAGTTTTCTTTTGATTATTTTTGTTTTATCGTTATTTTCAGCTTCGAAAACCTTGCCGGACGAACCGTTTACCATTTCCGAAATAAGGAGGGGCTCGATAGCGCACAGGACCGGCACACTTCACGCCGGAGATCGCATTTTGGCCATCGACAACAGACCGCTAGACCAACTCAGGTACCGTCGTACTTTTTGTGCCGCAAACTTTTAATGTTTATTTCGCAAAAATTCTGCTTTCGGAAAATTGGTGTTATAATCGCAAGCCTCTCCGATCAATACCGGAAAGTGCAGCGGGACGCTTCGTAATACGTTTTCTTGATTTTAGTCTGGAATCGGCCTTTGACATCCTACAAACCTCGAACAACGAAATAGTAACGTTAAAAATCGAAAAAACCGAAACGGAAAATTCCAATTTATTCCTAGATAGCGTAGTTTACACTGTGGAACTCCACAGGTATGGCGGCCCGTTGGGCATCACGATATCGAGCAGCGAGGACTCCACGGATCCGATCATTCTTTCTAGACTCACCGAAGGTGCGTATAGTCCATCGTGAAAATTAATAAAAGTTGCAGGGTTTCTACCACATATCGTATTCCACTTATTTTCTAGTGTTTCGGGGTGAAAATTACGGAAAAATTTTAGAGGAAAATAATAAAACTGCAGTGCATCCTAGTTAATGTCGCTTTATTTTAAAAATAGAAAATGCAAAAAGCATTACACAAACAAATCAAGAGTCAAAACTTCCATCATTTAAGCTGGACCGTCTTTATTTTCTTTAATTATTATAAACCAAATCCTAATTATACAAAAAGAAACTTAATAACCTCACATTTAATTTACCTAACCTAACCTAATTTAACTAACCAACCAAAAAGGTGTACTCCTTATAAAACAGAAGGAGAGTCACTTTACTATAAAATTCATTTTGATCCAGCCCTACGCAGCAGCGGCCCATGACACAGTTTCTTGTCCCTTGTTTCCATTTACTTATCCAGATTTTTGCTATATTCATTTCACGTTCTGCCTTTCATCTTGTTTTTGTCTTCCCATATTTCGACCTCTTCTTTTCCTCTGAAAATCTCGCGTGGTACTTTTCTCTCTCAAAATACGAATATGTGTTGTTAGGTTTTGCTTACCATCCATACTTGACTTCCATATGTAACTATGGATGTACCTTTACTCTTTAGTATTTTATTCAATGTAAGTCGTAACTACGGAATAATCAAAATAGAAGTGGCAACGTTAAATAGGTACCATTACAATCTTCTTCGTCGTGTGAAAACCAATCGGGCCAAGACGCTATAGCCGTTCGTCCATTACCGACGAGGCACGATATACCTCATATTTTTCTCATTTCGACGGCCAATATTTTTTCGTCACTTTCATATTATGCCGCTGCTGAATTAATATCGAATGGTTGAAGGCGAACGATTTCAGGCGGTCTGGCCGAGAAAACCGGCGCGTTACACGTAGGCGACCGGATATTGGCCATCAATGGCGAAAACTTGGACCACAGACCGTTGTCGGACGCCATACGGTTGCTGCAGACGTCGGGCGATCGTGTACAGCTCAAAATCGCCCGCAATCTGAAGCCGGGTAAGTACGCGTTTCGGCATGCAGCGATATACTCGTTTAGTAGATGTGGAATTTTTTACTGTGGTTAATGTTTCATGAAAGACCCGAGGTCTCTTATCTGATCTCCATCTTTCTATGTCGCTTTTGAACTTGAGCCAGATGTAATTTAAATGTATTTCAACATAACAACGCGGCTACTGCCAAATCGTAAGAAATTTGGCCCCCAATGTTGTTGGATAGTAGTAACTTGTGAGGTGTTAGATTTTAAAATTTTGCGATAGCATGTGAATGGTTGATAGTAAAAACGAAAAAACGAGTCACGAAAAAGCAGAGCAAAACGTACAAAAAGTTCAAGAAGACGGAAATAATACAAATTAATCATAGAAGGAAAAGTGATAGGAAATGATATAGAATCTATCTATGAAGAAAGTGATGAAAGGGAATCAAACTCAGGACAAGGCAACAAATGTAAAGCAGAGAGACGGTCATGTCAGTGAATGTATTCGTGTTGTTTTGCGAAAATGTACCCAAAAACTAACGGTCTTAGAAAAAGTATAGTATGCAACACGTTCGGTAAACTTTTTAACTAATTCATTTATTAAACACTCGCTCCGCTCGTGTCAAATAAACTCGTGAGTTAAATGACGTTTACCGCACTTGTTGCATAATATACCATAAAAAAAAAACAATAAATTTTACGTTGGTAGTTAGCAATTAAGGTATTTCTATGTTCTCAAGGTGTCAGGATTGAGTAGTCATTGATGAAAGATGGCGAGGATGCATTTTTATGCATTAATAAACATTTGATTTTCGTTATAACATTTTGAGATTTGAGACAACTGAAGCGATATGTCATGAAGAAAAACGGCTATAGCAGAAAAAAGGGAATTACCGAGAAACATCCGGAATCGACTATTATAAGATATTTAGTCCTTTTATTGCATCAATCGAAAAGATTACTTGATGAATAAATTTGATGTTAAGACGAAAGACGAATAGGAAAATATCGGAGGAAATATATAAAAATCATTATATACACTCAAACGGGCCCCTATGAAATGAAATGAAGCGTTAAAGAAGAGTATCTAAGTTCAGAGATTTTCCGAAAGCTCCAAGGAAAGTAAATTTTTTTAAACAACTTTTAATAGTTATTGGGACAAAGTGGTAGTAGCTGTTAAAATGTTGGAAATAAGAAGGAGAATAAGTTGGCGAGCTTACATTTTACGAGTGTAACATTTTAAGATTTTGTGGTAGAAAGTCAATGATTTTAAGTTCAATAAAACTTCTAAAAAGGTTGGGTGCTGATTAGTAAAATGAAAATACAGAAAACAATTGATCGCGGGCATCTTTTAGGGAAAACATAAGTTAATATAATTATATATTGGAATTTATTAGGCACTTAAAATATGGTCAGGTAAGTCACCTAATAACTGTGCTCCTACCTGTTCTGTGAACGTGCTTCAACTTGACGTCGGGATATTTTGACAGTAGTGACGTAGATTTTTTAAAAATTACATTGTCAAAAATTACCAATTAAAAGTATATTTTTGTTATTGGTCTGAAGATTGACAGTTGTCAACAGCAGACTTACTGGTCCGTGACCCATCAACTGTAATTTTTATCAGCTTAAAATACGTGTAGAAATGGGAGTTTTAGGAACCGGGCTTGAAAGACGCCGTAAACAGCTGGAGTAGCGCCAATTCACAATTTTTCTATCCGTGATCTACCACAGAAATAGAATTGAACCCGTTTTCCCGTTCGGTTTGCAGAGAACGCGATTCTGGAAGAGCCACGGTGCAACTATTCCAGTCCGGGTTTGATGAGTGTCGACAGCGCGATACATTCCTGGGACAGCAACACCGTCGACACACAAACAGAGAACGGGGCGGGTAAGGGTCCTCCCGGTGGTTCGTAAAATATCGGTATGCAGCGCCTTTTTCAGAGTTAAAGGACGTCGAGAGCGTGCTCAGCGAGCCCCTGTCCTATCAGGACCCGGTCCACGACCACGACAAGGATTCGACGCTGACGAAAAACAAAAAGAGACACTCCGAATTGCAATACTACTCCGACACGGAGGAGTTGTTTTGTCCGAGCCCGCTCCCGCTGCCGAAATACAATTCTGGCAACGCCGTGAAGTAAGTCGGGATGTCGACAATGCAAGCCAAAAACGGGCGTTTTACGATTTTAACGTTGAAGGAAACGCTTACTCAATTTGCCCAATAGTAACTGAATTTCATTTTTTAAAATCATGTAACTTTGCGTAAGCCACGGCAACATATTTACAACATCCCGAGAAACCACTTTGAATCGATGAAAACCCCTGAACCATTAATATTACCAAATATATTGGCTGTGAACTAAAACTTCTTTTCTTTCGTTTTATGGCCAACCAAGATTCGCCAGTTGACATTGTTAATTACGTGTTGAGGCCTACTTCGAACTGAACCATAGTACTGGTCTTTTGTCGACTTATCCCACGTATTTAATTTAGTTTTGATTTATTGAGCTAAGGAATCGCTAAACAAGTGTGCCTTAGTCGTCGCAAGTCTGCATTTATTTCCTAACTTAGCATTTTGGGCGAACGATCCTGGCATGCTGCCCAATGTCGGGAAAAAAATATATTGCCAGTGTGGATTAGTTTAAAGTCGCTTTATTATCGAAGTGGTCGCATAAATGATATTAAACGTACGTATTACGCAGAACAAACGATCGCTCACCCTTGTAGGCACATACAAAATTAGCTAGGTGATATGCGGTGGTCCAAAATACCCGACTTATGTATCTTCAATGTCTGTAAGTCACCGTGAACCCTTATATGCAGTGTTTTTTCAGATGTGAAAGGTAGGCGATAATTATCCATGTTTGAAAAACATGCATGTTTCCTATTCCAACTTAACTTTAGCCGTCGATATTTTGACGAATTTGCATAGTTTTTTCTCCAAAAATTTTATTTATGATACGGAAACTTTGCCATTTAAAATGCGCTTCTTTATTCATTTTTTAGAATAAATTTAAAAAACACCAATGCAATGTCCGGGACGACCATACTGCCGATTATATGAAAAAATAATCCAAGTGTTTGCTTTTTTAAAATTTTAATAGTCTATGTCTCGATGAGAAGCGTGATCTGTGCTTCTGGCCAGACCAAAGTCATTCGGTTCTGTACTTCAGTCACTTATGCGCGTGTTTAATTCAATCAGTTTTTTGTTCGTCAAATTAATAAGTGTGACTAATCCCATAGAAAATTGCTTTTATTTAAGTTGACGCTTGTTTTCTAACCTCAGCATTTTGGCCGAACGGCACTGGCAGAGTTGACCGATGACGGAGAATTAAAGAAAAGGATATTTTTACGTGTGTTAATTTAAAGTGTCGATTAGTTTAAAACTGTTGTAATATCGAAAGAGAAGCCACGAGACCATAAAAATTAAGGCGCATAAGGAAGTAGGATATGGTAACACGCATAATTCGGACTAGCCGACAGGTTTAGTGTTATTTCTTATTTACTACGGTTGTCGTAACGGGTTTTCGGTAGCTGCGTTGCATTGCAGCCACTACAACCAGTCAGGGGGCGCCGTGGAACGGATATCGGGCTCGTGCAGTGCCGAAAACATCCTCGACAACGAGATCTACCACGTGACCCTGTACAAGGACTCCATTTATGACGACTACGGGTTCAGCGTGAGCGACGGTCTCTACGTCAAAGGCGTGTACATAAACCGAATACGCAAGGGCGGGCCCGCGGATATCGTCGGGCTGCTCAGGCCCTACGACAGGATCGTCCAGGTGGGTTCGAATTGAAAATTAACTCCTAGGAGGTAAACGGGCGGGACGACAAACTTTCAGGTAAATGACACGAAAACCGTGGAGTTCGATTGTTGCCTGACGGTGCCGCTGATCGCTTCGGCCGGTGACCGACTCGAGCTGATCGTCGCTAGGAATCCCTACCTGGCCCATTCCTCAGAGAAAGTGAGAACGATCGCGTTGGGTCAGATTGACGATCTAGCACGACTTTGCTGACAATAATAACACCTACCTTTCGAGGAAATTTTTAAAAAAATATTTTTGAACATTAAAATGCGTTTTTTCTGAAAATATTAATTAACTCTTTACAGGTCGCAAAAAATCGTATATATGCCCACATATACGACTTTTTAAACGTTAAACGAGAATAAAGCTATAAACAACTTTTCGACGATTAATCCTTTGACTCGATTTTAATTCACACCCCAGTATTCAAAACATTTTCTTTCTATGAGGCCTTACTAAAGCTTGTTTTCATTGCCGGGTTCAGTATCTGGTGCGTCACAAATGAATTAAATAACACGCAGCACAAACACGAAAGCCTTTCTTACACCGAAATTATAAGTAAATCGACACCCTGGGCACGCATATCGCGATCCGCAACACTTTCTGCCGTTTTTTATCCTTTAACCGGTTTTTCTTGACTCAACTTGAACTTTTTTGTTATTTCTGTGTAAAAACCAAACAGACCCGTTGATATTTCGAGAGATTATTCTTCACACAGAGACCGGAAAGATTAGATACATCACAGACCGGCAAAATTAGAGTCCGATCTCAGCGACGTTGTCGGAACTTGCGATTTGTCCCTAACAGCGAGGTAACCCACAATTTTTGTCCATTAGTCATACTAAAAGATTCTTTGCTAGATTTTGAAGTTTTTGTCGACGAATTTAAAACTAACCCGACTATCTAGGACCGACTTATGTGGGTTTGGTTATTACAGTCGAAAAATCGCGCTAAATCGTCCATGTGACCCGTCGTTTGACCGCCATGGGGCGGAGGGGGGGAAATGACTCGCCATTTTCTCCGTTGCAGGATCTACACGGCGTGTCCAAGATGGCGCTGTCCGCGACACAGAACACCATAACGAAGACTTTGTAGGTTATCCGGTTTGAACGAGAAAATTCCAGGGGTGTATCGTAAAATATTTATTTTTTATTCTTAGTTGAATATTGTATCCGTATTTACAAGAATTATATAAATTCCGTTAATAAAGATTGAGATTAAACGTGGGGCGGTTTTATTTTGGGTTATGCCTTTACGTGTTCGGTAGAAGGGGAAATTTTGACTGCGCAACGTTGCCGGACTGCCATATTTATCTGATTTAACCGGAAAAGTACGCGATGTGGAAAAATGGAGATCATTTCTTGGGGAATTTATCGCGAAAACTCGTCAATTTTCAAAAATAGGCCACATTTTACAAAAAATTTTAATATCTAGGAACCCTTCCCCGTCTACAAAATACGTAAGCTGCAAGATAGCAAACACAAAAAAAATTTTTTCGATAGCTACCGTCAGTTTTTACGAAATAAGACCGTAATCCAGCGTTGCCGGTTCGTGTTTGATTAGTTTCTATTACGCTGTATTAACGGAAAGTAACGAAACACGAGCCGGCAACCTTGGATTACGGTCAAACGTTAAAAACGGTTACAAAAGCCAGGATTTTTTTCCCTAAAATCGTAATTTATTTATTGCGTAACGTAGATAAAATTTAGAACAATTCACCTGTACAAATAAATATATTTAACCTATTATCCAAATTTAAGTACATATTTATATTATCTAATAATACCTAAATATGCGGGGTGATTGTAGATGAAAAAAGAAGATTTCTTTGTATGAACATGGGCTTGTGGGTTTTCAAGGTACACGGTATCAAACTGTTTTAGCAACTAAACACATGCATTAATGTTTTGTCCATCGAAAAGAAAGTAAAACACGAAAAAATTCAAGAGACGAAAAAATTTTACTTTTTAATTGCCTAAATTGAAAAAAAAACTTGGTAAAAAGCCAATGGCGCACATTTTTTGACAAAAATATTCGATAGGGCGCCCTTCCGGTATGCCACTGCACTTTATAATTTTAATTTAATCCATGCTAAACGAGCCCCTTGTCACTACACATAAAACTGCCACATTCCAAGCAATATAGCGTTTGTTGGCAATGAAAGATATGCAATAATTCTTTTTTCCTCTCGTCTTAATTGCCTAATTTAAAAAAAAAAAAAGAAATTCGTGAAAATATCAGTGGGGCATAGATTTTTTTTTTCGTAAAAAATGTCGATACGGTTCAAATAGTTGCGTTTTTAATTGCCTAATTTGAAATATAAATTGATATCGGTAAAAATGCCAGTGGCGCACATATTTTGTGGTCAAAAGTGCCGATCGGGCTTGTTTTTTTTTCTCAAAAACGAAGCAAAATAAGGAAAAAATTGAATAGACGAGAAAGTTGCATTTTTACTTGCCTAAATTTAAAAAAAAATAAAATTCGTGAAAGTCAGTGGCGCTCACTTTTTTTTAGTCAAAAATGTGGATAGGGTCACGAAGGAAAACGAATCAAAATGCGAAAAAAATTTTAGAGAACAAAAAGTTGCGTTTTTCATTTGAGAAAAAAGAGAAATTCGTAATAAAGTCAGTGGCGCGCGGTTTTTGCGTGGCGGTGTTTTTTTCTTCGCCAGAATCGAAACAAAGCACAAAAAATATTCGAGAGACGAGAAAGTTTCCCTTAAAAAAAAAACACTTGAAATTGGTAAAAAAATCAGGAGCGCACATTTATATCCTCAGATATATCCGATATGGATACCTCAAACGATTTCTAAGATAATCACTAAGAACCCCACAGTTTGACACCCTGTATATCGAAAAGTATGCATAGGAAAAAATTCATTCATTGGGAATCTTATGTACAAAGCGAGTCCCGACTAAAATCAATAAATACAATCGAATTATTTATCGCCTATCTGACTAGCACTAACCTCAATCTCCTAATATTACTACGGTTTGAGCTTCCCGATGTCGAATTCCATGTTCCGCCTTCCGCTTCACGAAAACAACAAGTTACCTTTCGTTCTCGTATTGCTGTTGTAACTGCTGTAGCTGAAATTGTTGTTGATGTGCTGGTTCTTCTCGGCGTAAGGCAAAACCGTCTTCTCCCCGCGTCTCTGGTCGTATTTCGCCTAAAAAATCAACAACCGTGGTTTTCCCTCGATGCAGTTTAGCGCGAAATACCTTGTTGTAGAAGAGCACCCCGAAAATGGCGGTCAGCATTCCGCAAACGTTCAACCGGGTGACCGGATTGCCCAGGACGAACAACGAAACGGCTATCACGAATATGCGTTTGCTGCAGTTCGCCACCGCGTAAGTCAGAGGCGTCACCAGCGACAAAACGCTAAAAGCTACAATATTCTGCAGCCAATTGAGGACGCCGTCGACAATAAGCAACGCTATTACCCTGTAGTCTTGGTAGGCCTACAAGCGACGATTAGAAATGAATAAAAGTTCGATGGGACCGTCTCACCACTGACTTGTCGTTCCACAAGGACCTCAAGTCGATGTACGCCCACACGGGCAGAAACATAACCAGAGCGAGTCTGCCGAGGATGTGCAACAGCCTCAAATGATGCACATTGGTATCCCTCAGCACTTTCTTCGAGAATATATTCTGTAGGGAAAAGCCGGCGGTCGCCACCAACGCGCTGATCAACCCAACGAGATCGAAGCTTATCTCGGTTAAAGTCGCTATAGCTACGCCCGCGATAATGGGAATCAGACTCAGGTACACTTTACTCGTCTGTCTCTCACCCATTATTATCCTCGAAAGGACGACGGTGAAAAGGGGCATCGTCGCTTTCACTAAAACATCACGACGTTGTTTGCGCCTCCGTCGACGCTACGTTCACCGCTAACCTGTGTGCGCGTAGGACACCGGCACTTTCCATATGCTGACGTGCGAAAACACCGACGCCACGAATTTTCCGAAAGCCAGCGGCACGATCAGCTTGAGGTAGTATTGCCACGACATGCCCGCGTATTTTCTCACGCCCCATATGTTGAAAAGTGGCCCGCTCAGAACAGTTATGGACAGCAGCTGGACCATCGTCATCGTCATGGGATACGGAAACTCGCTGAGCACCGTTTTGCCCACGACATTGTTCGTAGAACTTACGGCGTACCACAAAACGCACAAAAGTACGATCGTACAGACCTCCCTGCTCTGCTTACGATCTGCCATACTGCATTTCTACGTTTACATCATAGAATAACTCGACTTGAGGAGCCTGACGAAACATTCGCCCATTTTGACATTTCGATCACAGACCGACCAACATTCCTGTTGAGCACGGACCAACAATAACGACAAACAATGGCGGAATTTGTTTCGCTAGTCTAACATTGGTTAATAATAGATTTGGCATTGATAAAAAAGAACACAGACACGCACAGATCTTTGTGAATTTCTAAACTTTTATCGACACGAAAATCAGTAATGAAAGTTTTTACCACTGGAGCCAAAACAGAGAAAAAGACATCGTTGGATACGCTCGCAAAAAAAAACTTTGTCCATTTCGGCACTCCTACGGTTGTAAAACAAAATCGTAAAAAGTGTATGGATGGTCTCATGTCTTGGAAGATTTTGATATCGCCACGTTTAACTGCGAAAAAATAAAGCAGATCTTTGCCAATATTGGAATTCTTATGGTGGAAGCAATGATTGAAAATTTGAAAAGTAGGGTCGTCTTACGTGAGACTTTGATATTGTTTGGGATAGGTTTCGTCCCGAGAAAAAAAAACGGATCTTTGCTATTTTCGAAACTCTTACGGTAAAAGAAAAAACAAAAAATCGTGGGTCTTATATCTTGGAGGACTTTGATATCGTCAGTTAGGGCGCAAAAAAAACAGATCTTTGCTTATTCCGACACTGCCACGGTTGCAAAACACACTTTGCGTTATTGTAGACCCTAAAATAGTGATGTCGTTTGGCTGCAAAAAAAAAAGATCTTTGCTCATTTCGACACTACCACGGTTATTAAACCCGTTTAAGGTGATCCTAGACCCCAAAATAGTGATGACAGTTTTTACCTTCTTATGTCTTAGACGACTTGGACATCATATAATGCATTTGGTCGTGTGAAAAAAAATAGTTCTTTGCTTATTTCGACATTGTCACGGTTACAAAACGCATTTAGCGTGATTCTAGAGCCCAAAATAGTGATGACAGTTTATACAGTCTCATTTCTTCGACGACTTCAACATCGTCTAATGCATTAGGTCGCGAACAAAGAAAAATTGGCTTATTTCGACGACATTGACACGGTTACCAAACGCATATAGCGTGATTCTAGACCCCAAAATAATGATGACACTTTTTTCCGGTAACATGGGTCATCTTATGGCCGCAAGAAAAGAGATTTTTGCTCATTTAGACACTCGTACGGTTATGAAACACTTTTATCGTGATTCTAGACTCCAAAATAGTGACGACAGTTTTTACCGTCTCACGTCTTGGATGACCTTGACATTTGGTCGTGTAAAAAAAAAAAAACGCGAAATATGAAACGATCTATTAATCGAATAAATTACATTTACAAAATCAATCACGCGACGGAAATGACGATAAAAATGAAAAAAACAAACCCTAACAGAAATAGAGAAACGATACGAAACGACGCTCGAAACAACCGCGACCGCGCGCGCGCACTTAAAACAGCAGCGCCCCCATCCCGCCCATCTCGCTCTGTTCCTTGACGAATATCTCGAAGTACTGATAGATGATGGTGACGGCGAGCAGGATCCCGGTGCCCGATCCGATCGCGCCCAAAAAATCGGCCAATACGGACAAAGCGCCGATGCACAGGCCCCCGAACGCGGCCGCCGTCGGGATATATCGGTTCAGCTCGTGGATCATCGAGTTATCGCGATGACCGCGCATCACCATCTGCTGCTCTTTGAGCTGTTTGGCGACGTCCTTGGCCGAACTGCCCGACACCTCGATCCACGTCTTCGAAAAGAACGCGCACGAGCCGAGCATGAAGATAATGTAGAGGATCGCGTGGACGGGGTCCTCCACTATATGACTGACGCTTTCGGGAGGCGAGAGGTAGTAACAGAGACCGCCGATCGGGTAAGATCGGGCCGGGCCGCCGCCCCCCACGTCCGCCCACACCCCGAGCAAATTGATGAGGATGTTGCCCTGGAATTTGACCGCCAACATTTGCGAGATGACGTAGAGGTTGGAGACGAGGGCGGATTGGAGGATGATCGGGATGTTGGACGTGTAGAAGAGTTTGATCGGGTAGCTTGAGTATTGGCCGCGGTAACGGGCGCTTTTGATGGGCAAATCGACCCGGAACCCTTGGAAGTAGATGACTATGGCGAAGACGAGGACGGTGGCGAGGAGGTTCATGAGGTTGGGCAGGTTTTGGCGGTAGAAGGCCTCGCGGAGGGCACGGATCTTGTCCTGACGCGTGGTGAGCAGGTGGAACAGGGCGATGACGGCGCCCTCGAACTCGGTACCGCGGCCGGTGTTGACGGTGGCGGGCGAGAACGCCTTCCAAATGATCGTCTCGCATATGTTGGTGGCGATGAAGAGAGAGATGCCGCTGCCGAGGCCGTAGCCCTTTTGGAGCAGCTCGTCGAGGAGGAGGACGATGAGGCCGGCGACGAAGAGCTGAATGATGATCAGGAGGCAGACGCCGGCGCCGATCTCGGCCGGGTCGCCGTACATGCCGGTCATCACGTAGACTATCGCCTGGCCGACGGTGATGACCATGCCGAACACTGCGAAGGACGTACGTTATGCAAGGTACAAAAAAATCGTCAAGGCTCGTGTGTACACGGCTAAAGACGAAATCATAAAAATATCGTCATAATAATTAAAAAAAAACACATTTGCGTACTTCTTGACCGGAAAATGATGAAAATTGATCACTCTGGTGTGTACACCGGTAAACAAATTCATAAAAATATCATTTATTGTTTGAATAATGTAATTTTATTATTTGTCGTTTTTCTTCCTCGGTATAATCCATTTGAAATATCCTAAGTTATTTAACTTACGCTGCAGGTCTTTAGTTTCGATCAGTTGTCAAAAGTAGAATATTGTTAAAAAAAATTGCAAACATAGATTATATGGTTGCTATCAAGATAGACTTGACCATTTTGTCAACGTCAATAAACTATATATATTTGAAAAAAATTATTTACGATTTAAGCGAATAATATATAGGACACGCTGTTTAAAAAAAATTGATGTTCCTTTCATTTTTCCTCATTCCAAATATAAAATTAATATTTCTTGAAGATGTGTTCGTTATGCAATCCGCGTACGTGTAAAACGTCTAATTTGAATCAAATACAACACCCAAATATTTAATTTCGTTTTCGTAAATTAATTTTTTCTTATTAATATAAATGGTTACATCAAAATTTAATTTATTCAATTCATCTTGTGTACCGAAAATACAAAATTTTGACTTTTCCGTGTTTATACAAAATATTATTGCAAGACCAATCAAAAACATTATTAAAAATTAAACTGGTAAAAAAATTCTAATTCACTGCACTTTCAAATTTTATTCTAATCAATATTCAAGGAGCCCGTCATACCAACTGATAATCCTACAAAATTTCAACAAAATCAGTCAGGGAATATTATTCACACGAAACAATTTCCTTATTTTTTCATGCAAAACGTAATTTCCACACACATGTACTATAATCTCCATGATTCTCGGCTTATCAACTTTGATTAAATGATTAGAATGCTTAACAAGGTCATTCCTAATTTCCCTTGTTTTCAGATTTTCCACTACTTTTCCACTCAGTTTTACTAAATCGGTACTTACATTTTTGGGCACCGTTAAACAAGGCCCGGTCTTTCGGAGTGTCCCCGACTTCTATAATTTTCGCGCCCGCCAACAGCTGCATGATCAGCCCGGACGTTACAATGGGCGATATGCCGAGTTCCATGAGGGTGCCTCTGTTTGACGCGAGAATGACGCGGATCCAATAGAAAGGATCGGCAGAGTCGGAGCTCATGATGCCGAACAGAGGTATCTGCAAAAACGGCACTTTTCGTTCCTTCCATTAAACTTGACGCATTTAAATAACTCACCTGGCAGCACACCAGAAATATAAATAACGTTATCGCCGTCCATAGCACCTTTTCCCTGAACTGGATCTGCGGAAGGAAGAAATGTTTAACAGGTTAAACGATCCAATAACAATATGTTAGCGTCCCAAAACCAAAACTGCACTTGCCTTCCTCTCGGGTTTAGCTATCTCCGGCAGAATGCTGCAAAAGGGCTTGATAACTTCCAAGAATTTTACTGCAAAAATAACGGGATCGTCAACATATAATAGAAGTGGGTTTCGGAATTGAGGTTATTGCCGTTATTCCCCAATAATAAACGAAATACTTACTACCCATCTCGATGGGTTATTTACGAGAATCGGGCGTCGATCGGGGCAAATTTTGGCTGGCACGCGAGCGACACTTCTGTTAGGTACTTCCACTTCGTGGCACTTCCAACTCCGAAAACTACGGTACTTCGCTAGGTGAAACGAGATTTTTGGCCCGCACGCCGAACACGTAGCAAAGTCTGCGGTCACGTGACCGATGATGTTGGCGAACGGTGGCACGATGACGGACCAATGGTGGTTGCCTAAGCTACGAGCGCGACGACACACGACGCGGATTACAGTTTTTGAAAATTTCGCCGTTATTTGCGACCGCCATTCGGCCAGGACAAAGCAATATCTTATTAGTGTTTTGAGCGTATTATTTTGTTTATTTTTAGCACTCAACGTACTGTACAAAGATTAGGTTTCACAGAGCACAGATCGGTATTGTAATGCTATCCTTAGATACTCGAATAATTACCGAAACAAGAAAAGAAAAAGAACAAGATATCGGAGCGACGTAGCAAACATATAGGGAATTACGAGAAAACATGGAAATATTTTTGTGGTTTAAGTTTCTTAAAAAAATTGTAATTTTATATGGTCTGTGTATAAATAGAACTTACCAAACCGATCCTCTGGGGCTCGGTTGCATTATTTAAATCCGCCCAAGACTTTCTTCGTACGCATTATTCAAACTGCAACTAAAACGGATGTTGTTTTGCGTCCCGAAATTGGCTATAAATCACTGACCGCAAAAATCATCGAGCACGCTTCAAATCATTCTTTCACAATATTAGGTAAAACACAGTTTTAATCGCCTCGCTGGAGGTATTCCTGCCGTAGAATTCTACGCAGTCGAACTTAACAAACTGATAAAGCTCAATTTCAACTGTAAAATTACTGGCTTTCGCTTACCCATCTGGCGTTACACCGTAAAACTATGAAAATGTATCGCGTTTCAAGGGGCACGCGTTAGATGGCGCAATTACGAAAATTTGAAACCGCGACGAATCGGGGTTAAATGCTTTTGCGAAATCCGCACAAACCGAATCTGCTCGCGCCGCGCGGAAAACTAAACATTAACTAGAGAATTATTCCATTTCAGTTGGAAATTCCGTTCGGCTGACTAGTAGACACTTAGAAGGAGTTTTCATAGATGGCGCTGCGATCGGTTTATCGTAAATCGGAAGGCTCGTTAGCTATGAATTTAACAAACAAATTTGCGTGTTTGCCCGACGAATTGGGGTTTCCTAATAATTTATGTTTTTCGTCGTGAGATAAGAGTTTCACAAATATTTCTCCAGCCATGCGATTAAGCCGCAATCTGCCACGAATCTTGGCCTGTGACCCCGGGTCCTCTTTATCAGGGGGACGTTCAATTATCTTCGGCCGCGGAGACAAGTTTTCGCCGGATTAAAATGTACAATCGCGCGGTTTTCTTCTCGAAAATCAATCATGCCAAATCGAGTCGTCGATTTTTCAGCTCGGCGATTTCCAAAAGCGAAGCGGCGCTTTTTCCGCACAAGGATGAGTTTCCCGACAGACACATCGGTCCGCGTAATGCCGACATTATCGCCATGCTGGACCACATCGGGTATAAGGTAATGGAATTTTCTTAAAGCGGTTATAAAACGTTCGGAAAAACAAAATACAAGGGGCCCCAATGCATGTTTTGGTTAGTTTTGTTTCGCCTCCATACTTTTCTTACGTGGATATTTTCATTTTTTAATCACAAGTAATATTTTTTAAACGTTTTTAGATAAAAATATCCTTTTGTTTGAGGAAAATACCGATACCTGAAAATAGGCTATCTTAGAGGCAACCATCAAGTACAAAAATTTAAAAATATTGTGGGTTTTTTTAATTAACACAGAACAAACAAGGGGAACATAAAAACTAACCAAAACAATAACAACGAACAACGGAAACGGAAAATATTGAATTGGTAGGTACGGATTTTCACATTAAACGTTCGAAATATGTTTGGTTCGTAAATTAACATATTTAAATTGTTTTGCATCTATCGCTCGAAGTTGTTAGAATGGAATGTATTTTATTTTTCTTTAACTAAACTGCATCATAATCAGAGGGATTGAACCCCTCAGCTGGTGTCGATTACAATGATGCGCCTATTTTGTTTTTTCGTAAGCAATAGTATTTAGTAATAGGTGTTACGCACAAGAACGAGATAAAGCTCCAATTCTTTGCGAAACCTATTAATTCCTCCCTGGAACGGACTTTTAGCAATCATTACTTTTGGGCTCACCTGTAACTCACCAGAAGCTATTCATTTTGATACCTTGAATAGTTATAACTCTCACTTTTGGGTTTACTTCAAACCAACCCAAATCAAACCAAACCGTCCAAAAATAACCAAAACCTATTCATTTTGCCCATGAACGGATTTTTAGAAGTCATGGGACTTTTCAAAGTCATAACACTTACTTTTGGGCTTACTTCTAATCAAAACTAAGCAAAACTAAGCAAGCTTATAGGATCAAAACTAATCAAAATATATTCGTTTTGCCTATGAATGGACTTAATGGTCATGAGACCTATTTTTAGGCCCATTCCTAACCAAATCTAATCAGAATTAACTAAAACTCTCCAAAACCAATTCACTTTGCCTATGAATTTACTTTTAATAGTCATGATACTTTGAATAGTTATAACTCTCACTTGTGAGCTTAATTTAAATCAACCCAAACCAAACCAACCCGTCTAAAACTAACCAAAGCCTATGAACCGACTTTTAGAAGTCCTTTTAGTAGTCGTAACACTTGCTTTTGGGTTTACTTCTAATCAAAAATAACCAAAACGAAATCCATGCGACCAAAACTAACCACAACTTATTGGTTTTGCCTATGAATAAATTAAAGACAAGATTTTTGGGTTTTCTATTATTATAACTTACGAACACCGAAAATAAGCGACACAATTGCAACCAAATAAAATTTTAGTTATCTGACTTAATAAAATAATTACAAAAGCAAGCAAAAACTCAAAGTCTTATTTTAAGTATTTTAAGTATAAGTAATATGTGAAGAAAAAAACAATAATACGTTGGATTAAAATCGAAAAAAAAAAAAAAACGGAAAAAAGTCGTTAGTACATAATTATTTACGCGTTTATCTCGTATTCGTGTCCATTTGAAATGAGAATTTCTCAATTCCCACTAACGCCTCTTATGAAAATTACCGGTAAAAGTAGCCTCGTCAATAAATAATCTTTTCTAAACAAAATTAGGATCTTCATGTTGTTGTTTGAGCAAAGAGTCAAAAAATGTAAATGTCTCGAAAACGGCTTAAAGTAAAACCTAAATTTAAATTGAGAATATAGAAAAAAAAATTAGATAACTTCTGTCATTCTGCTTCTGCTTAAGTTTAGGCTTTAGGGCCCGTGTGACGTCATTAAATCCCGACCATGCTTTTCAGAGTTTGGATCAGTTGACTGATAAGGCGGTGCCCTCGAATATTTCCCTCAACAAATTACTAGACATAAGCGAACCCCTGGGTGAGTACGACCTGGTCCGGCGCATCCGCCAAATCGCTGAGAAAAACAAAGTGTGGCGCTCCTACATCGGTATGGGCTACCACAACTGCTGCGTGCCGCACACCATCATGCGGAACATCTTCGAAAACCCGGGCTGGACCACCCAGTACACCCCGTATCAACCGGAGGTAAAGTCTGTTCATAGATATAAGAAAGTGACTAACTGATACGAATTAAGGAAAGACCCGGGCAAGCTGTAAGAATGAAATATGGCCGAACAGATCCGTACTTTGCTTAGAATTTAATTATTTGGGGTTCTGTTAGGAAAGATACTAAACAATTTTTATTTATTTATGTATGTATTTATGTTTCAATCTAAAATAAAATTACAAATTATTTTTATTACCTACTTAAATTACTTAAAATTATTCACATAATATATCAGTATCACTATCGCTATCATCGCCTGTTCTAATTATTATTTTTTCTATATTATTTGCAATATGGATGTGCGATTGTTCTGCTTTTTCTATATGTTTAACAGAATTTGCCCAACTTTGTGGAGGGATGTTAAAAACTTCGGTTTCTATAAGTTTGAGGACATTGGAGTTAACACGGGGAAAAACATTGTTACGACGAATGGCAGATTTCAGTTGGTGCCAAACATGTTTAATGGAATTAAATATGCAGTGGTAAGGTGGAAGCCTTAAAACTGTATGCCCTAGATTTTTTGCATAATTATCACCGACGTATTCCTTTTGTAGGTTCAAGCTTTGTAGAACCTCAATTAATTGCTTTTTGGTATAATCTTCGTGAAAATAAATGTCGTTATTATACATGTAGTTTTGGATTGTTGCTTTTGTGTCACACGAGGAAGGGGTTTTAGTCAACTGTCTACTGTGATAACTTGTATTGTCCATTACAATGACGCTATTAGGAGGAATGTTTGGAACTAGTTTGTTTTTAAATAAATCGGTGGTGGTGTCTTCATGGTAATCCAGAGAAGAATCTTTAATATTTTTCGCAGACAGAGAAAGTCCATTTGCAAAATAGTTATTCTTTTACCACTTTTTGATAGCGCGTTTGTTGTACACTTATCAGTTGAGTCAACCCAACCCTTCTCCGGGGTATCATAAGTGTCGAACCAGGTTTTTGCAAGTAAATAATTGGCTTTTGTTGTTCTCTGTAAATCCTAGTTTTTTCTAGATATTCCAGTCGCCATTTCCGAATTCTAAAAGATACCATTAAAACTTGCCTTTTGTCAATTTTTTTAAATTTAAAACCCATGTGTTGAATACACTTCCATAAGGTAGTTCTGCCACATTTAACACCGGTTTCATCTTTTTCAAGCCTCCTAATTAAAATATCTAATGTAGCCACGCTTTGTTCCTCGTATAACTGGTAAATTTTACGCCGTATTATATCTTAATCACTTTCATCTGCACTCGAGAAAATGTCAGCATCGCCTCTTTTTCTCCTCGCTGAAATGGGATTATTCACAATTTTCCATACAGTTGATGTTGGAATTTTCGTCAATGGGGCCGTTTCTTCTAAAGATGCTTGCCTGCTGGCACGACCTTGAGAGTCAAATAAACATTGTTTATAACTTCCTTAGTCTCAATAGAATAGTGTTTTCTACATTTGGTCGGGAGCATCTCCTGAGATACACACGATTCAACACACGCTGCATTACACATTAAATAAAAATGATTACTAATAATCTGAAACTAAGTAGTATACTAAACCAAAGAATCTTAAACACAGGCAGGCATAAAATTATTTTCTATTACGGACCACAATTTTACCTGAATTTAAATTCCGAAACTTTAGGTAATAATCTTGTTGCATTGTATGTCAATGACCACCCTTGGATAATTCGATTCAAAAGCAATTGGTCATTTCCTTCTGTCTATGAACAGACCTATCTACCAGCGAAATCGCGTTTATGGGAGCCTGTACGACTGTAGGTCGCCCAAGGTAGATTAGAAGGGCTGCTTAACTACCAGACGATGGTTTCCGAGCTGACGGGGCTCGAGGTGGCCAACGCGTCCCTTCTGGACGAAAGTACGGCGGCGGCCGAAGCCCTTTCGCTCTGCTACCGCCACAACAGGAGGCGGAAGCTCCTGGTGTCGGACAAACTGCACCCGCAGACCATCTCGGTGGTCCAAACCAGGTACCACGCCACGAACCGTCCTGTAACGTCGAAAAAAAAAAGCGTGATAATAATAATAAACAAAATCAGTTTTTTAATTGTACACCGAGCGTGTAATAGTGGCTAAAAACACTACATTTTAACACCTTTATTATTTCGCATAAAGAGGTGTAAACATTATTAAACATTATTTGCTTACAAAACTTGTCAATTATCCACAGCATGCAGGGGATTGTTATTATTACTTCTTGCCTAAGTAATTTTCTACCTGTTTTATTAAAATACTTCAAAAAATCGTACCAAACTCCGAGGTGTATTTTGAAATCTTTGTAATTGCAGTAGGCTGTGGATTAAAAATCAACCGTAAGAGATAAATTTATGAAATTTTCGGCATCCATAGTCAAACGTCTATACTTTAAGAATATATTGACGACTTCAAATTGTTTGTTTATTTTCTTTATGTTAAGTAACTTTTAAGTTAACAAATGAAAATTTAACTGATCATTTTTTTATCGGTCACGTGTTTTATCTATTTAACTTTAAGATTTCGGAAGAAAATTTCATTGCTCGTCATTAGTTTAAACAAAATGAATTTATTTATGACAGCGCGCCGGGCGCCGAGCGTCTCGGGGTGCATTGAAGATTTTATTAGTGATAATTTAAAATAATAATACAAAATATTGTATGTATTATTATTTATGTTATTTTGTTATAATTATTAATAATAAAATTTTATTTTTTTAACAATATTATAAAGAATACAATCATAACATATTGAATAGATGAAACAAGCTTAAATAATTAAATTGTGAATTTGTCGTCAGTTATTATTATTATTTTTTTAAAACTTTGTTAATAAATACTTTTTCGTCCTCTGAAACGAGCCTGCATTCTAGCAATGGTTTGTAATAATGAAATTGGAGAGTATTTTTATTGTAATTAAGTGTTTGAATCGCAGCATCAACACCAAAATAATTTTTATGATTAACTAAATTGGCAAAATTATATTAATTTTTATAATGTGAAGCTGCTCCATCGGACAAATACTTGATTTTTTTAATTTTATCGGCACCAAATTCAGTTTTCAAAAATTCTATCAATTTAATATTAGATAAATGTACTGAACTTGCATCATGATTAACTTTTTCTGATATGATTTGCTCGGATACGCGAAAAACAAATGAAAATCGTAACGGAGCGGTTTTTCTTTTGTTAATTTACTAAATTACCTAGAAAAAATAAATATAGACCATAGCAGTTTTAAAAATTTAAAGTTTAACTTAATGATTGCACATAAATTAAACAGTAAAAAGTGGTTTATTCGAGGTAAATCGAGAACAAAATACAAAACCTTATGCCACGCACGCGCGGAGCAAGTGAATGGCCGGCGGCTGACGATAGGCTTCAGCGAGCGTTGTGCGTGGACGGTGGCGCCCTCTCACCGATCGTCGCTGGTCACTTGCCGAACTACGGCCCAGACTCGCGCTCCCCATTATGCAAACAGTCAGGAGCGCGGGTTTTGACTGGTGATGCTGATTATTTTTTCTAAATTTACGCTGTTTGGTAAATTGTAATTAATTATTACAATTAATTATCACTAATAAAAAACCTTCAATGCAGTTCGAGACCTTCGGCGCGCTGTCATAAATAAAGACATTTTGTTTAAACTAATGACGAGCCGTGAAATTTTCTTCCGGAATCTTAAACTTAAATGGATAAAGCATGTGTCCTATAAAAGAAAAGTTTTTTTATACCAAGAAATCAGCTAAATTCTCATTTTTTAACTTAAAAGAGTTAACAGTATGAAAATAAAGCATTTGATCATGGATGTTAAAAATTTCATAAATTTATCTCTTACGTTTGATTTTTAATCCATTTTTTAATTAAAAGTGCTTAAACTTTTCATTATAAAAAAATGTTGTTGAAATCAAAATATTAAAAAATCGTAAGTAAATCATAAGTACTTATAAAAAATATAAATAGATTAAATTTTTATGATCAAGTGGTATATGAGGGGGTCCACTATAAAACAAAAAAAAGCAGAAACAAATAACTAAAAAAAAACTGAAATATGGTGATACTGTAAGATATTTTTAATATATTGTCCATCCTCTGCAATACGCATTTCTAACCGCATCGCTATTATTTATTGCAAGAATCTCTTATCTCAATTTTTAACCTCTAAATTATTTAAACCTCAAAAAGTAATTTAAATTTAAATATAAGGTAGAGTACAAACTTACCTTATTTTTTGTCCTAGAACTGATATCTGAATAAAAATATTGGAAAATCTTGAGATTTTGTAAATTTGTATATGGAGAAATCAAAATATGGAAAAAAAAACACATAATCCCAATTTATGCCTAAACTTGGATAGGAAATTTAGGCAAAATTTGGATAGGAATCGCTTAAAAAGTGACCTTTATTTTAACCAAGGATTCCAAAAATGTCGAAATATACAGAGTGTTCCATTTAAAATAACAAAGTTGATGTCGAGGAGGATACTTTTGAGACACCGTGTGTCCACAAAATTATAATATTTTCAATCTTCCTGACACGAAACTTTTTTTCGTATCTCCTCCGCTTAAGGTACCGTAAAATACTTAAAACGTCAAAGCAATAAACGCACTATATTTTTGGTCGTATTATAATAATAAAAATCACGTTCTATTTTTATATAAAAACCAATTCTTAATTAATACATTCAAATTATGCGTCCTTCCACGTGCCCTTATCTGGCGGGCTATCTCGCAGGCTCTCCTCCTTGGGCCTGGAGGTGGAGGTGGTCGACGTCTTCGAGTCGGACTTTTCGAACCACGACATGGCGGGGGTGCTATTTCAGTACCCGGACACCGAAGGCAACGTGAAGGACTTTAGCGCGGTGGCGGAGACCGCCCATTCTCACGGTACCCCTCGCCCGCGCCCATCGCACGCCCGAGAAAACCCACCCGTCCTTTCGTAGGTACCCTGGTGTGCTGCGCCACCGACCTCCTAAGCCTCACCCTGCTGCGTCCTCCCAGCGAATTCGGCGTCGACGTAGCCGTCGGTACTTCGCAACGTCTCGGGGTACCGCTCGGGTACGGAGGACCCCACGCCGGGTTCTTCGCCTGCAATCAGTCGCTGGTACGGCTGATGCCGGGACGCATGATAGGGGTCACCAGAGACGCTGCCGGCAGAGACGCCTATCGGCTAGCGTTGCAAACCAGAGAGCAGCACATCAGACGCGACAAGGCCACCAGCAACATCTGCACCGCGCAGGCCCTGCTCGCCAACATGTCCGCCATGTTCGCCGTCTATCACGGTCCGCAGGGGCTGAAGGACATCGCCACCAAGGTCCACCACATGGCTTTGGTAGGTAGTCCCTTCCTACATATCTCGTGTCCGGTAATAACCAGTAATTTTTTAATACGTTTTTGTTGAAAGAAACTTCCACGGGCTATTGTAATACCATATCTGGCAGCATGTACAAGTTAATGTTTGAGGAATTTTTGTCTGACATAACAAGTCTGTGCTTTGGAACTCTTATAGGATTTTTTGCAAGTGTTGGATAACTATGAGTAACACCTTCAAATATATTAGTATGTCTGTGAATTTCTAACAGATTATGGAGAATATAAGTACAGTGCAGTGTCATTATCTTATATTTTTTAAAATATGGAGTGCAGTGTTCATTGTGCTTAGCCCCAGCAAGAATTCTTATAACCCTTTTCTGTATCCTGAATATTTGAACAGCATTGACAGAGTTTTTCCATAATATTGTGCCATATGATATGTAGGAATGAAATATAGCATAATACACTGTCATTAGGGCATTTTGGTCTAGGCTCTCCCGAATAAGCTGGAAGATAGTTTGCGCTTAAGCGAATAATTTTAATAATAATAATTTAAAAGAAAAATATGTTCCAGACAAGTATTTATCATTTAAGTTGAGAAGGTTTGGTTCCAGATTGCCCTCATGGTCAGAAATCCCTAGTAGATTTTACCATTGAAATAGAATTCGCTTTTATTGCCATGTTTCATAAAATACAAAATATCCTGAAAACCGTAAGATCAACCGCAGGTAACCCTATTATATTTTATTTGAAAAATCCGGTAGCAAAATAAAATAGAGAATGTCGCTTTTGAATTATGCTAGTTATCAACTTTTGAACTTCTTCATAATTTCTACTAGCTTCTTCATTTAATGGACATCCTATGCAAGTTAATAAATTTTGGAAATTGTTTATAGTTTTTACATTTTTCACATTTAAAAATGTAGCGTTACTTTCAGTTTTCAATATTTGAAAGCTTTCTTCTTTATAAAAAAAAACACGAAAAAAATGCACCACCAGTTGTAATCGTAATTTTATATTTTATGACCAACCCTGTATACTGTTTGACTTAAAACCGCTTAAAATGGCTATAGAACACGCATATAATAAACAATTTTCCCATAAGTCGCACGCTTAAGTGACTACACTATATAGAAGTAAAAATTTCCTTAATTTTTCCGAAAAGTTATTTTCTTTTGCATGAACAATTTTTATTAGAAATTGTTTATAGTTTTCGTATTATTTGCCGAGTGTTACTTTCAGTTTGCCATATTCGAAACCTTTCTACTTAAAAAAAAAACACATCTTATGACATTTAAAATTGTATCTGGAGGACGGGAGGGCGTTGAAAAGGGGCAACCCTACTACTACTCTCGGTCTTCTCGCTACCCCAGGTCTTAAACCGCGGCCTCGAAACCGACGGAAACGTGCTCTCCAACGATCTCTTCTTCGACACGGTCCGCGTGAGCGAGCCCAAGCTCCCCCAGGACGAAATCCGCTCCAGAGCGAGCGAGAAAGAGATCAACCTGCGGTACTACGAGGACGGCTCCGTCGGCATCGCTCTCGACGAGACCGTCAAAGCGGCTGACGTGGACGACCTCTTCTACGCGATGGGTTGCGACCGCAACTTCCGCGACCTGGTGGAGGAACCTGGAGTGCGAGACCGCGCCATCTACCGTTCCCAGTTCAAGAGAACCTCGCCCTTTTTAACGCATCCGGTGTTCAACTCGCACCACTCGGAGACTAGGATCGTACGTTACATGAAGATCCTCGAGAACAAGGACATGTCGTTGGTGCACGCGATGATACCCTTAGGCTCGTGCACGATGAAGCTCAACTCCACGACGGAGATGATGCCGTGCTCTTTCAAGCACTTCACCGATGTCCATCCCTTCGCGCCTCTCGATCAGTCCTCCGGGTACCATCAGCTTTTCGCGGAGTTGGAGAAGGACCTGTGCGCGATCACAGGGTACGATCGGATCAGTTTCCAGCCGAATAGCGGGGCTCAGGGCGAATACGCCGGTCTCAGAGCGATCCGGTGCTATCACGAGGCGAGGGGCGACAAGCACCGGGACGTGTGTCTCATTCCCGTGAGCGCCCACGGGACGAATCCCGCCAGCGCTCAGATGGCGGGCATGAGGGTAGAGGCGGTCAGGGTGAGGGGCGACGGCACCATCGACGTGGAGGATTTGAGGACCAAGGCGGAGAAGTACCGGAACCGGCTCTCGTGTCTGATGATCACATATCCCTCAACGAACGGTGTCTTCGAAGATACGGTGGCTGAGGTACGTCGGGACTTGTTACTCATTTTTACGTTCCTAACTTTAGCGGAGAGTTACACTTATTTAAGATATTCGCTCATAGATGGGGCTCCGGCTGGTCAGAATTTCCGAGAAGTGTGTCAAAATTTCTGAGAAACAAGTCGCAGTTTTTGATATAAGTGAGAAGTTAGAAATTCCTGAAAAGCAAATCGGAATTTTCTGAGAAACCAAACAGAATTTCCGATATGAGTCAGAAAAAAAGAATTTCTGAGAAACAAGTCAGAATTTTCTGCAAAATAAAACGGAATTTCTGGAAGATGGCTATAGTAAATATAATAAAATAATTAATAGCTATAATAAATTTCTGAGTAAAATGAAAATTAAAAAAAAAGGTGAACATTATTGGAAAATAGCTCAGAGGATCTTAATTGAGTCAGATTTTCAAGAAAACTAGTTAGAATTTGTAAGTTAATCAGAACGTATAAAAAACTTTTTTTTCCAAAAACTTCGATTTTACCGCATGCATTTTTGACAGTTCCCACCTAATTTAAAAATTTTGACTTCAGCTATTCTGAATTATTTTAAAAGAATATCCGATTCAAAAATTCTGATTAATTTTAGAAAAATTCCGTTCCAATATAAGTCAAAAAGTTTTGGAAACAAGTCAGAATTTTTCGAGAAACAAGTCAGAAATTCTCAGGAAAAAAGTTAGACTTTTCTGAAATTAGTCAAACATTCTTGGAAAAAAGTCACAATTCTCTAAGAAACAAGTCGGAATTTCTGATATAAGCCAGGAATTCGGCGTAACAAGTCAGAATTTCAGCTGTAAGTCAAAAATTCTCAGAAAAAATTTAGAATTTCTGAAATTAGTCAAAAATTCTTCGAAAAAAGTCGCAATTCTCTAAGAAACAAGCCGGAATTTCCAATATAAACCAGAAATTCTGCTTGACAAGTTAGAATTTCAGCTTCAAGTCAAAAATTCTGAGAAAAAAGTTTAGTTTGAATTTCTGAAATTAGTCAAAAATTCTTGGGAAAAGTCACAATTCTTTAAAAAACAAGTCGGAATTTCTGATATAATAATATAATTTCAGGTGTAAGTCAAAAATTTTGAGAAAAAAGTTAGTTTTTCTTAAGTTAGTGAAAATTTTTAGAACAGTCGCAATGCTCTAAGAAACAAGTCGGAATTTCTGATATAAGGCAGAAATTCGGCGTGACAAGTTAAAATTTCAGCTTTAAGTCAAAAGTTCTGAGAAAAAAGTTTGAATTTCTGAAATTAGTCAAAAATTCTTTGAAATAAGTCACAATTCTCTAAGAAACAAGTCAGAATTTCCGATATAAGCCGGAAATTCGGCGCGACAACTTGGATTGATCGAATCGACGAATAACAATCGATGGTAAACAGTTTTTTTTCTTTCATATCATAACAACTCTTTAAAGTTATACCGTTTGGACTAATCAAGTGGTGGTATACGAGGTCCAAAATTGTTTCAAGTGCGACAAAAAGCCTGAGTTCTGAGTGGCCGAACCTTCCAGGTGTGCGACATCACCCATAAAAACGGGGGCCAGGTGTACCTGGACGGTGCCAACATGAACGCCCAGGTGGGCCTGTGCAGACCCGGCGACTACGGCGGCGACGTGTCGCATCTCAACCTGCACAAGACCTTTTGCATACCGCACGGGGGCGGGGGCCCCGGCATGGGCCCCATCGGCGTCAAATCCCACCTGGCCCCCTTCCTCCCCGGCCATCCCGTAGTTAATCCCCTCGGCGCCGACTCCCCCGCTTACGGCGTGGTCAGCGCCGCGCCTTTCGGCTCGAGCGCCATCTTGCCCATATCCTGGGCGTATATCAAGATGATGGGGCCGCGTGGGCTGCGCAAGGCCACCCAGGTGGCCATCTTGAACGCGAACTACATGTCGAAAGTGCTCGAGCCGCACTACGTGACCCTGTTCAAGAGCGCATCGTCCGGCTTGGTGGCGCACGAGTTCATCATCGACGTGAGGGAGTTCAAGAAGACGGCCAACGTCGAGGCGGCCGACGTCGCCAAGAGGTTGATGGACTACGGCTTCCACGCGCCTACCATGTCTTGGCCGGTCGCAGGAACCTTGATGATAGAACCTACTGAGTCGGAAGATAAGCAGGAATTGGACAGGTTCTGCGACGCCCTGATCTGCATCAGGGGCGAGATCAGGGACATCGAAGAGGGACGAATGGACGTGCGGATGAACCCGTTGAAGATGGCGCCGCACACGCAGGAGATGGTGACGAGCAGCGTGTGGGAGAGGCCCTACACAAGGGAACAGGCCGCTTTCCCTGCGCCCTTCGTCAAACCCGACCACAAGGTGTGGCCGACCGTGGCGAGGATCGACGACATCTACGGCGACAAGCACCTGGTGTGCACGTGTCCGCCCATACTCGACGAGTACACCTACTGAGACTTCGAATAAACGTCGCGAAACCCTTTTGGTGTTTTTTTTTTTTCAGTTCCTACGCCGAGAGTTAGGGAAGGTGGGAAAGACCAAATCACCGGATTTCACGCGACTATGAAATTTCACAGATTTGTAATTGGCGACGGTAAAAACAGAAAAAAAACAATTTGATATAGGGTTTAAGAAAAAATGAGGAAAATTGTTCCTTTTTAAACGGAACATCCTGTATATTTCTGACTTTTACTCACTCCGTGAATCAAATTGAAAATAACCGAATTATCAGCAACTATGAGCGGTTGCGCAATAAAACTCAAATTTCCTTTTACGATAATACCAATTTCCGGGTCTTCATTTAATACAAAATTTCTTCGTCCTCTGAAAAAATTGTTCAAAGAAGGCCGAGGTGTCAATTAGTAGTTTCGTCATATCAATTTTCATCAATTGTATCGCTTATTTCAAAATGGTTTTTACATAAGAAGAAAAGAGCGACATTAAATTAAATAGCATTAAATGGCAAAAAAAAACGGCGATAATTATGGCCGTTGAGCCTTTCTGCACAATTACACTAAATAATGGCTCGTGATACATGTGTGCCACATTTCATTAAAGTGTCTAAAGTGGTATTAGAGATATTAAAAATATATAAACTTTATCGCCGTGTATCCCAAGACGTTAATTATTGACAATCAAATAGACAACACCCTGTATATAAATTCTAAAACGTCTATCTCGATGGTCGCACCTCCGACGGCCGCTTCCCCAGGCGTTCCTCAAGGTTCAATGTTGGGGGCATTATTATTCAACATTTTCGTCATTGGTGTTTAAGAGATTGTGTTTTGTGACTCACAGAAGCCTCAAAAACCAATGGATTTATCGTATATTACAACAAAAGTACAGAATTGATAAAAATATTTTATAACTCGGTCTAAGCTATAAGTTGGAGGTAAAAAACTATAACTATAATTATTAATTTCAGTCTTTTCCCATTCTACTGTTTTTTATTAGACTTTATTAGAGTTTATTTATTATATATCATTAAGGTTGTTTCGTGATATCGTCATTACTTGCAATGTCTCTTTAACTACACCCTAGCTGTTAGTTGGGCTTCATGTCTGGAAGGTAGACTTCTTTAAAAAAATAAAATAAAAATATAGAATCATGACAAGCTCTACAGGGAGATAAAGGCAAACGAATTCCTAGCGCAATACCCAAGCATTGCTTTGTTAAACACTACAAAACTCGAATATCCAAGAACGGCAGATTTCTGGCTCTCACAATCTGGAATCTGAATTGTTACGTTAGCACTAGAGTAGTATTCATATGTGATTGAAACTTGAAAACCTTTTTAAACTTTCTCCGGAAAAGTTTCGAAACGCACAGTAAAAACAAATTGTCAACACTTAAGAAATGTATCAGAGAGATTATTATTATAAAAATACGCCTATCATCGTGTGGTGAAAAACGACCAAATATTTTGCCCTCTTTTAATCGCAGGAATGACTCAGACCTTCCTATGTACGATAGGTTTATCTCCAAGTGGTTGTTGTGATTCTGTATTCGAATGCGCATTTTACCTGCTTGATAGGAATCTGCGACGTATTAATACGTCCAGAACGACATCGAACCGCATTCCGTTAACATAACGATGACGAACCTATTGACTTTGTGTCTTTTTTTCGCAATCGCGACCTACTTGGTCGCCGGTGAAAACCTTTTCGATTGCCCGGACCCGACGCTGGCCACGTAAGTGCTCCGCCACTGTCCCTTTAACCGATTCGACCAGCCGCCTCGCGTTTCAGGCAGTTGGTGTGCGACAAGGACATCAGCGAGGACGGTTTCTTCCTGACCGTCAAGAGTAAAGAGATCACGTGCCCGGACTCGATCTTGAACTCGATCCCGATCACTTGCATCGACGTAAGTTTTAAGAAATTTCCCATGTTATTGACATTTCTGTAGCGGTGTCGCCGCCGTACCACAGATGGCGCGGTATACATCAACTTTACGCTTTCTCGATCGTCCATGGGCGAGTGGCCTGACACTAGCAGCCCTATCTACCTTCGCTAGACTGCGTTGGCATTTGGTTAGATGACAGTCGAACAACTGACTGACTGACTGATTCATGGTGCATGCTTCCCTATCGTCTAGGGTTCTCATAACTTTTGCTACTGGCATGTTTCTTCTAGGGTTCTTGATCTGGTATATAAATCTAACTGGTGATTTACCTCTCTTTCTTTTGCCGTCTACTTTCCCTCGGATCACAGTCTTACAGTCCATACCGTCCTTCCAAATCACGTGACCAAAGTATTTTGGTATACGCTTCTGCCTTTCATGATCCGGAATATTTAGTTCAGATCCGTAACATCATGCAGTGGCATATCATTTCAAACGCTTTGAGAAGCCTCATCTCGGTCATGTTCCGAATGTTGTGGTATTTGCAGATTTTAACCAGTCCACCCAAAGCTTCTCTGCCATCCCGATCCTTCTCTGGATTTCTGGCTCGGGGCCTCCTTTGTTAGTTGGTTTTGCCCCAAGATAGATGACAGTGTTCCTAGTTTCCATATCACGAATCTGTCGAAGAGCCCTTCTAATATGATAAGTAGGGAGAGAACACAACTCTGTCGAATTTTTCCAGAACCATTGCTATAAGTTTTTATCCGATGCTTCTTCGCAGATTAGGGATTTGGACTCCGATAACCGCGGAGGGTCGGTGAAGGTGAAAGACGGAGGCATCAACTACAACCAGGTTACCGTGGAGCTGACCTCGAAGCTGGGCCAGGGCTTGCACTTCAACGTCAAAGTGTATGGTCAGTCTGCTTGAGAGCAGTATTCAAATAAACGAAGGACTTCAAAATTTGTCTTTCATTTCATTTCACATTAGCATTGACAACCAAACAATTTTGACAGAGACTTCGAAAGTTTTAAACATATTACTAAAGGTAAAAATGACGAAATTTGTAGATCCTCAGGGTAATAAATTAGACCAACAACAATGAAGTGTTTGGCACTGAAATTGGCGAGTTTCACTTTATTTACATGAAATTTTGGACATAAAAGACGCCCGACTCGATTAATTCGTTAAATTATCCATAAAAGCAATTTTATATCTCGTAAATTATCATCGGAAAACTCTGGTTCCATTAGATCGCAGGGTTCCGGGTTCCATATGGAGAGAATTCGACAGTCAGTGAGAGAGAATACTTCAAACGGCAAATTAGAGTTGGTGGAACGAAAGTCACATCCTGGTCTAAAGTTACTCTTGCCCGTGTAGTGGTAAGAGGTTTACTTCGAATGGAATATTTATATCGCAACAAATCGGGAGATGAGTCAGCACTGATCTTCACAATTTGCTTCCTGATTGATATAGACACTTTATCGGACGTTATCGGTGCTTCAAATGAATTAATTTTAGTATCATGTCCATGAAACTTTGTCTCTAAGGCGTAGATAAAGAAATAAATGTTCAAATTGATCACTTTAACGAAAAAAGAACAATTCCTAAACCATAGATAAGTATTAAAAATATGTGAAAAAGAACACAGGCTAGGTGTACATTGGCCACATAACCAATTGTTATTTGCTGATGCAGAGACCCTATGAAAATAGCCAGGGATAGTATATAGACTCTCTCTCTCGACACAGTTTACGATACTGTCAAAATAAAATTGTCCCGTCTTTAACAGTGTTTCAATTATCGCCAATTATTTGATGACAATAACGGAAATTTTCAAGATCCTTTAGATTTTTTGCCCATAAACGACACAGCCTGTATATAATTCAAACAATGAACGAAATAGAGGTTATAATAAATGACGTCATTTCGTCTACTTTGTTGGCGAGAACAGAGTATGTGATAGATTAAACCAACCAACCATAATTTTTTTTTATATTCGGAAAACCCTGTAGATCAACGAAAAAACGCTAGAAATGAAAGTTATCCTGGTTGAAGAATTTCGCCGATAACACTTTTTCATATACCACGAAATATTCCGAAACCCTGTACATCCGAAATACAACACGAAAATTTTAGCTGTCGGTACTCCCGGCATGGGTATGTAATACAAATTGACACCTGAATCATAATGTTCTAGTTATATACAATTTTCAGTTATTAGTTTCTTGGCAATTGTCCTGTACATTAAAAAAAAAATATTTCAAATTATTGTTAGATTTGAACCTCGTTCAAGAATTTTTTTTATGTCGTTAATCGTTTTTGAGAAAAAATTTTTTCCTTACACCCTTGCATAAGAGGAATGACAATATGCCCAGAGTACTACCTTGGGGCACTCCAGTCTTGACGTCATATTCAGATAATAAAGTAGTAATTTTTGGAAATTGTCGGAAATAAGCGTAAATAAACTAAAGGGAAATTTTGAACATTATCGATGAACATAAAAAGTATGTATAATTTTAGATATCAACCTTAGGTTTCGTAAACACGTTTCCAAAATTCCAAAAGTTATAGAAAAGTCGTAATGCTTCGCATGAAAATATTGAAAATCGCCTTGCTGTTAGACATTTAAACTCATGAGACATTGGCGTAAAATGTATTGATTTTATTATGAGAAAGTGGATTTTTCTTTCAAAAAGCTTAAAAAATTGACACAGTGAGAGATTGTTCTGGAGACGTAAGATTTTCTTTAATAGTTTTTGGATTTAGGTGCTTCATAATAAAGGACAGGTCCGGTAAAAATATCTGAATTATGTTGATATCAATTTATTAGGTTTACTCCGATTTTAAACACGAATAAATACCATACAAATGCACCGCCACATTCCCTTATCTCCTTTTTGTAAATAATAATAATTCGTAGGTCAATATGGTTTTTTCTTTAGTTAAATTACATAAACAAAATATGCCCAGTAGACCCAGCAGTTAAACTCTCAACTAAATTAGTAAATATTTTAAAGTTCCACACAGATTTTAAACCAAAACATGCAATAAAAAATTCTTTTGAATTAATCTACAAAATTAAAAATATCAAAATCCCTTTTAACGCAACACTATTGTCTTTTGATGTACAAAACTTATTTCCCAGTATTCCTCGGAACAGGTTAACACATTGGTGAAACTAGATTTATTAGATCGCTTAATAGTATCTTTAGACCAAAATTATTTTGAATTTAATGGACGGATTTACATTTCTAAGGAAGGTTTGATTATGGGAAACCCACCCAACATTTTATTGCTATTTTTCGGTATATATAGTACCAGGTAGTTTGTAAATATAACATTTGATAAAGAAATTTTGTAGTTTATTTTGTTAGTAAAAGCCACTTCAGTTTTGTTTAGTTTCTCTACCTTTACATATTTTCATCATATGGCTTAAACGTCAGGTTTCAAGAAGATTTGTGAATTCACCTAAATGAGCCGTAATAATTATAGCAAAATTGCGCAACACCACACTTCGAAAATTAAATCGATTTGACCTGCGATTTTCTGCAAAATTCCCGAAGCAAAGATATTTTCTTTGTATTTTTATCCGTGTAGTGGTTCGTTAGTTTCGAAACTACACTCGAATCGAACGATAGCGATCTGAACGAAAACTTATCGAAGAAAAATGCAATGTTGACGTTACAAGCTGCGGGTATAAATAACCAGGCGCCGAGTCGTGCTACGTGTACAAAAAATATGGCGAACCTACTGACTTCGTGCTTTTTCTTGGTGACGGCGACCTTCTTGGTCGCGGGCGAGAACCTCTTCGATTGTCCGGATCCGACGCTAGCCACGTGAGTTCTTGTTGTTCTTCTTTATATGCCGTCCCTTCTATACTCGCGGAGCCTCTATTGGCGTGAGCAATATCACCTATCCCTTTAGTATCTCTCTCCATCCCCTCTCTATCCATCCAAGACAGTATCCCAACCCTGCAGTTGCTTTGGATGTTATTTCTTTGAGTCTATAGAACAGACGAGATGATCTTGGTTCACTTCTAGTGTCAGAACATTTAAGGCGAATGACGTTTCCCTTGTTCCCATTCACTGAAGAAGTCTGTTCTTCTTAATTTGCAAGTTGCCTTTCAGGCAATTGGTGTGCGACAAGGACCTTAGCGAGGACGGCTTTTTCTTGACCGTCAAGAGCAAAGAGATCACGTGTCCGGACTCGATCCTGAACTCGGCGCCGATCACTTGCATCGACGTAAGTTCGGATCCGCATGGAGTTTTTGTTGTGCGCTTCGCGGGCTCCGTAAAAGCCTTTTCGCGTTTTGCAGGTTAGGGACTTGGATTCCGATGGAGGGTCGGTGAAGCTGGTGGACGGGGGCCTCAACTACAACCAAGTTACGCTGCAGTTTACCTCGAAGCTGGGCCAGGGCTTGCATTACAACATCAAAGTGTATTCTCAAGGGGCCTGAGCTCCGAGATCCGTTTTGTTTTGCAATAAAGCGGTCGTGCGAAGTTTGAAGTCTTTCATTTTTATAGCTCTAGTATGTTCAATGTTCACAAATTAAGATAAATGCGAAAACGTGAGGACGTAACGGTGATTTGGTGCAAATTGAACTGCTGGATCATCTTCCTTCGTGGTTGGCCTTATAGGAAAGATACATTTGTTTCCATCGCGGAATTGTATAACCAAACACGTCTCTTTATGCTATTTTTTGACCTGTTGCATTTAACGCCTTCTAATAATGGTGATAACGAAGAACCCAACACAGAAGATGTTCGGCTGGGACCTTTAACAAGAACTGATTTTAAAATCGTTGAATGTGATTCTGTGTCTATATCTTTACGCGTATGAAGAGTTGTTTCTCCAAGTAAAGCAAAACGATAATCTAAAAAAATGGAGATCAAGGAAATTCAAGGAGATTAGCGGTTTTCGTATTTTGATTTTTTTTTTAAATTAAACCCTAGTTGTCAATAAATAAAAGCACTTTTTCCCTAAAAACCTTCCTCCTGAGTTCATTAGTTTCGCGTGAAGTCAAAATTTGTGACAAGTAATGACATGTAACGGGCAAATCAGAAAGCAACATAGAACGTAATGCTACATATCGCTACACTTTGAGAGTTTTTAATGGCGACATCGCGTGAAACCCGCAAAAATGGCCGCATTGTGATAACGAAATATGCAACTTTTATTCAACCTTTGGAACTGTCAGAAATGTTGTTGTAGATAATAACGTAGAACTGCGATTTTAGGTTTTCAAAACTTTGTTTATCAGTTTTCATATTTGCGGATCCTAAATTAGCTTCAAAAACCTTATATGAAATTAATAATAATATGATTGTAATCGTAATAAAAAAAATACATTGTTTTCTATTTCGATCACATGTTATATACGGGGTGTTTTCTAACTAAATATCAATAATAATAATAATAATAATAATAATAATAATAATAACAATAATAATCCGTTTTGGCAGATATTAATGGTACGTCACTGATTTCTGTTAAAATATCATTCTTACATTCCCCAGTCATTTTTAAAGAAATTTTGCGTAAAAAAATTAATATCTCTTTTCTGCATGGTGATTTAGTAGACAGGTTTCTTTTAAAGGTTCTTGTTTAATAAATCCTCTACTGCTTAAAGTTTCATTGGAATTTTTCACAACCTGTTTTCCATCAAGCGATATTGTTATATTGTCGTAAAATAGCTTTTTCGAAAGGCAGAGTAAAAAGGATTATTGAACACTACCGCAGATGGTCAACACTCAAGAAATATATCAGAAAGAAAGTAATATAACCCGGTTCAAGTTTTATTGAGGGTTTTTGTTCTTGCAATAATAAAAATTACGTTTAAATCAACCGAGATTTTTATTGAGCAATTCTTTTAATGTTGACGAGAAACCTTCCGTGGTGATCGTTTAACCCAGTTAACCTAAGATCCTGACGAGACGATAAGCTAATACGTGATTTTGATTGGAAAAATGGTCGATACGTTAAATACTTTAGTCCTTCCGGTATCCAACGACAACGTATCTTTATCACACTGTGTTGTCGAAACAATTGTCATGTGAAAATACATAATTTCGTGAAAATCCGAACTTTTAGTTCTTATTTATTTTGATTTGAAAACACCCTGTATAATGGAGGTTTTTGGGGTTACACTTCATATATAATATAGATCAAAATGTTTTGCGGGTATGCTAGACTTGGCCGAACTATCTTGGCAGCCATGGACGATATCTCCCAATGAAAAAAAAACAACGAATAAAGTCTAGTTTTGATTTTATTTTGTATTTAGGGAAAATACGTATTCGATTTGCGATAAGAACAAGTTTACTTCGAGCTTCCTATAGGCTGTAGGAAAATAACAGTGAGTGACGTCACTTTTTGTACATGCCCAATTTGAGAGGCACTTCACGCGTCTGCCTGGAGAGTTGGTTCACCGGGAATGGACTGAAGGCTTTGCTGGGTGATTTGTCGACGCCCTCCTCTTCCTTCGGAGGAGATAACCGAACGTCTATCACGTAGAGACCCCCGTCCACCTCTCGTGGCTCGCTCCGCCCTCTTCTCCTATCGGAAACTGACCTCAACAGCTCCGAATTCTCCTGGATTATCTTGCACGACATGGACTCTTTGGCACTGATCTCCGGACTCGTTTCTTCTGAGTCTTCCGCGAGTTCAATGAGGTTATCCTCGGGGATCGTCTGGACTATGACCCCTTCCGATTTGCTCTCCGACAATCCGGAGGTTTTAGAGTCGCTGAACAAAGCGTGGTACCGTTCGTCGAGGCTTTTGCTCTTCTCCAGGATGCTGTGGTACTTGGAGGTGCTTTGCACCTCCGGCGAAGGCGGAGACGGCGTGAGACGCGCCCGCATTATCCTGTGCAGGATCGCCGAGTTTTCCTGGATGATCTCGAGCGCGCGAAGACTATTCCTGCGCGTTTTGCCCTCCTGCTGACAATATAAGAGCGAATTAAAGGCTAGTTCTAGTAAAAAACTAGAAAAGTCAAAATTTGAAGATTTGATTAGGGGAATGTTGCAGTGGTTCCAACATCAACGTCTTATAAATGTACCACTCTCTGGACCTATCGTAAAACTAAAAGCAGAAAAGTTTGCTGAACAGCTAGGGATTATCGATTTAAGAGTTTAAGCTGTCTATATGGGCTATATCGCCATGTAAAAAAAACTGACATCTAAAACACAGACTTGAAATTATTGCCAATTTTCAATAATAGGAGGACCTATTCTGCAGTTTTTTTGAATTTGCGGCGCACCCTGTATATTTTTAAAAAATTGTCGAGAATAAAAGTTTATGGAGTCGTTTCCTTTGCTTCTGGTTCAAGAATGTTTTTCGTTTTGTAAACGGTTTTTGAAAAATGGTCGTTTTTGTAGACCCTTGCACAAGCGATTTTTATTTTTTTTTATATATACCAAGTGAGGAAAGCGGCAGCCACAGCAGGTGCATTAAGGGATATAGTGTGGAGAAATAAACATCTAGAAACAGAACCGAAAACAAGAATCTATAAGGCATGTATAAGACCGATACAAAGAAAACAAAACAAGCGCTAAGAACAACTGAAATGAAAACATTAAGATGCATAATAGGAAAGACTAGACGAGACCATGTAAGAATTGTAAGATGGGGACGAGAATGAAGAAGAAATTGGGATCAACATGTAACGAGCATGAAGCAGCACAGATTAGCAAAGATCACAAGAGGTGGAAAACCCGAGGGGAAAAGATCAAGATGAAGACCACAAAAAAGATGGCAATATAGTTGGTCATCAGAATCACAAATAAGATTAAATATTATACAGTCAACACGAGTCGTTGGATTTAACGTAGGAATAAGAAGAATGTGGTATCAGTCTCTAGGAAAAAATTATGGAACTCTGTTCACTTTTGGAACTCGGATGTATATTTAGTTGACCTGATATTGAGGCTATTGAGGTGCCGTTATGAAGTCATATACAATACCTCATCACGGTCATGGTCGAGACCCTTGACCCTATCGGTCAGGAACCTCCGGAAATCTTCGTCCTCCGACTCCGAAGCGGCAGATTCTCCCTCCTCGTCGCACAGTTCCGTGTCCGTCGAGCTCGAGCTCGACGAGTCTTGCTTGGGCGTCGTCGCCGTAGCGTCCTTCCACTGCAACGTGGCGGAGGTGGCACGCCTGGCCGGCGGGATCGTGCCCTTCAAAGGTCCCGCCCTCTTGGTCGGCACCAGGGCGCTCCTCCCCACGAACAGGTGATTGATGGCGATCGGGGTGGCTGGGGGCGGCTGTTTGGTGACAGCGGCGGAGAAGATCACGTGGGCCTGTCTCTGTCTCTGTTTCAGCTTCGCGTATTGCCTCTTCAGGGTGTTGATGTCCAGAAGGACAGCGTGTTTCGGGTAGACTTTGAGGCGTTTGTCACCTCGATCGGACAAACTCCAAGGGGTGATGCTGTAGAGGTAGTGGTCGCGGAGGTTCTTGAGGTCGGTCAGAGGGCCCATCGCGACCACCGCTTTGACCAGCGAGTTGGAGTCGATCACGTTTGCCTCCAGAAGCTCCCTGGTGAGGTCTCCCATGGTGCCGTAGAATTCGTCCGCCGAGCGCACTCTCAAGATACGCTCCGTCAGGATTTGCCATATACACAGGGCGGTACGGAGAAGGACCTCGTTACCCTCGAGGAGGATGAGGTCCCACACTCTGAGGACCGTCGCCTGGGGCAGGCAGTTGCAGAAAAGGGTTAGGAACCTGGAAACGTTTGCTAGACAAGCCACCGAAACGAAAGAAACGTCGAAGAAAGAGAAGAAAAAATTATTTGAGGAAAGAAAATTGAGGATCATCTCTGATAGCAGACTTTAGTAGGTCGCTTATAAATTTCGTCCTTTAAATAACATCCTAAATACATTTGGTGACCTAGGAGGCCAAGGAATAGGTCTATTTGAAGCAATCCATTTATTGTTGAAAATGGTTGTTAAAAATTGATATGTGATGACCTCAGCTCATTGGAAATGGAGGTTCTGTCTGCTTACGAGGTCAAGCTCATCTGGAAAACCATCCAGAATTTCACAAATAATTACAATGTACCGCTCACCGGTCGGACGAGACTTCTGCAACAAGAATTGTGATAAATGAAATTGAAATGTTATCTAATTCCAAAACAGTGCTCTTTGATACGTGCCTGGGTCGCTCTGATGTCCAAGAAATTGAAATAGAACGGCAATTGTAATCATTAGATGAAGCAATGAAAAAAGGTCTACTGTACTCAGCAAAACTTTTGCCATTACAAAGCAAATCCATACTGCTTAATTCAACATCAGGTGTACTACACGTTGTCACGATGATTCCTAGTTTGATTGCTTCCGAATGGTTTCCTATATAATTGTTTCTACTTACTAGGACATATAGAAATGTAATGGAGAAACTCTTAGCTTGATGAGATGTAATAAAGGTTATATAGCACTAAATATAGTCTGTGCTGGCCAAGTTGTAGGCTTTAGGTACTAGTCGGGTATTCTGTAATACCTAATGAGCTTTTATTACTCCATCGCTTTCTGAAACAGACTATAGATACCTGGAAGTAAGTCCAACACGTGGTGTGATCTTTTTATAGGCACCCATTAGTGGGCTTGAGTGAGTGTGAACTGATAATCGCAATAAGGCATTATAAAAAGTTTCCTTTCTTCATATTTTGTAAATATAAGGGCCGAACTATTATTTCGACTATGTTGTCTTAACCACTGAGGAGGGACGTTCACTGGAAACTATGCAATACAAGGGTGACTTACCACTGAATCGTGAATACGTTCGTCAGTGGCGGCTCGTAGCTGCGGCTGCCGTCTTTCGCCGCGTTTTGTAGCATATCCAAGTGCTTGGCGAGCCTGGGCAGCTTGCTGCGCAGCAGCTCGCGAAACACGGCCATGTCGACGCTAAGGCCGCGTAGATTGTCCGCAAAGTAAGAGTCTGGTAGCACGCCCTCTATGAGGTAAATCATCAGCTTCAAAGAGTCGCTTTCGTTCTTTTCAGTCACTTGGAGGATCAGCGCCGCTAGCATGTTAAATCCTTGGCAGTATCCTGGTAATTTCCAGTCTTTCAGTTTTATTGTCAAAGATTCCGGTAATACGAATGATGTATTTTTGTATAAACATGATGACCTCATTTGAAAAAAATAAAAATGAAAATTTAGTTATAATTTCAGAACCTTCGATCAAAACTAAATCTCAACTATAATCAAACGGTTGTATGATGATTATCGTAGAGTGTGGCCCAAATTAGATTTACGTATTTATTACGTAATGTTATTTGTTACGTAATGAAGAACAAAAAAAAATTACAACGCAATATTTCTTATTGTTATCAGTTTTGAACTTATCAAGGTGATTTGCTTTGTGAAAGACTCTTGTCATATATCCTTAGTCTATAATCAAATTTGCAGCACGCGTTTTGTAGTTCTTGAAGCCGATTTTGCGTAACGGCATCAAAGCCAGAGAAATGTGCGGGGTGGTCCATTTAAGACCTTACCTTATCTCAATGAGTGAAAAAAGGAAAAAAGCGAAATACAAAAAGCGTTTGCCCCTAAATATGTATTTTATTTATGGTATTTTCATGTATACAGGGTGATTCGTTGCGCCATCACAGTAACCAGCATAGCATACAAAATTTTGAGTACTTTTTGAGAAAAATGAAATTTTCCATTTATTTGTCTTTGGAAAAATGTTTTTTACACTTGAAAACTTAAATTTGAAATTTTGATTATGGATCCATGGAAGTAGTAAATGGTATAACGAAAGTATATCATACAGGGTGGTCACAAATGATCATCACAAAATTGTTTTTTCTATTTAAAAATACTTTTTTTTTGGAAATAGAACGCACTTTTATTAGATTTGGGGTTTATGTCTGCATCATTTCATATATAGCTAATTATGTTATTATGTTATGGCCAATTTTCTGCAACCACTCGTGTATTGGATCTTAAATCTAACTAAACAATTACTACTTAAATTTAATATAACAAATTATACAAGTGACTAGAACTTATTACCAATTACAAAATATTTTCTACATAATCTCCATCTTTGGCAATACAAGTGTTGTTATACACTACGTTTTTTATGCAGCTCCATAAAAAAAAGTCCAGGTTTGTCAAGTCAGGGTTCCTCATGGTCCCGTACCGGCCAATCCAAAACGGAAAACGTTGATTTAAACAATTTCTAACAGGCACTACCACTAACACTATTAACAACTTCCCTGTCAGTGTAAAAAGCACATTTTTCCAAACACCTGTTTTTCAGAAAAAAATGAAAATTTTAGATTTTCTCAAAAATTACTCAAAGTTCGGCAAATAATTAAAACTTTTAAGAACATTCATTTCAAAAATAAAGTTGGTCACTATCCTGACACAACGGACTACCTGTATACAGAAAAATACCATGAATAAAATATGTATTAAATAAGCATCTCAAAAGTCATTATTACATTTTAAAAATTATAATAATGCAATGCTGAACATTTTATTCAATACATTTCCGTGTCTCTAAGGTTCTAAGATTGGAGGTGGTATTTTCATAGTCCCAAAAAGATATTTTAAAAATTTTTATGTCAAACGATACGACATCTTTACGTCATTAGATGATCAAATAAGGGTCCCACAATCAAGTGAAAATCGCATCTCAATATATTTTTTATCTTAACTTAAAATATGTATAAAGAAGTTATGTTTTGGAAAAAAATTTAACTTGCCGTGTGGTTATTAACGTCTAATTACTCAGAGTTTATCAAATAATACGTTAATTTATTTTTAGCGTGGCAAATGATAATTTTGAGATCTACAAACATTGTACAAAACATTCTGTAAGAAAAAAAGAAACAAACTACCAAATATGTACGATGATTGGCTACTTCAAGAGGACACAGAATTATAAAAAGAGAGGTGGACCCATAGACTCTCTGAAAATAGGTCAAACCCTCTAACAGCGGCTGAAGCATTCACCTATAAGTTCTATACAACATTGATAAAGCTGGGACTCATAAGTTATGATAGTTGCAAATATTTTAAAGTGTATTCAATTGTTATTATTATTATTACATTTACCGACGTTTTTGTTCCACCTCGCGTAAGCCAACAGCACCCGCTTCAAGAGCACCTGGTTCTCTTGGCCGTCCTCACCGCAGAAGAGGCTGCATCCCGTCCTGTGCAGGTCTTTGACGATCTGAATACCCAATTCGTCGTCGTCAGGGTGAGCCCATTCGCTGAAGTACGATTGCCTTACTCGTGACCACTCGACCTAGACAACAGTTTGAAATGCGGGTCTTATTAGTCAATCTTTACAAATGGGATACCATACTATAGACGTAAACTCCAGTCTAGATCTAACCGTTAGGTTGAATAAGATGGCAGTACTACCCAATTAATAAATCCCAACATCCTCAGAGCAGAATTAGTTTATAATCAGCGATGTTGGAGTTATCAACACGGCAAACAGAGAAACCAGGAAAGTCGTTCAAGAACAAAGAGGATGGTAAAGAACCAAGATTGGATCATTGTGGCACCCCTGATGACATGAAACATGTCGCTTCCTAACAATATATATATAACAAAAAATTCCAATCACAATTAAATTACCTGAAAAGCAAAGGTTTTGTGTGCAGCTTTAAGTATTGCGATTTAAGGATTCAAATTTGGTGTAAAGGTGTTTTCGTATATAAACACATATTTTAGTAAAATAAAAAACAAATGCGCATGAATCAAAGGCCCATTGGAACCTTTATTTAGGAACTTCCAGAGGATGGTCCTATGAACAACCCTGTCAACTCTTCGACATACCTGCGAATCGTTTTATCTAATCAATCAGATGGGTTATTCATCATATTTTGACAACCACCTACAGGGGTAATTTTGAAAGATGAAAAAAAAAGCGGAAATAAAAAAATTTGAAGATTTTTGATCTGAAAAAACAAACGACGAACTCAAGCTGTCGAAATGAGAGGCACATAATTTTTTTTAATGGAATACCCTATATATTATGAGCCTAAATCGTATCATTTAGTAGTTTTTGAGTTATTTCAGTTTAAAAATAATTATCATTCGATTTCTGGACATTAGCCATATTGTTTAAAAATGGTCAAGGCTGCCTTGATGGCAATATTATTATCTACGTTTGCAATTGTTTTACTTTTGACAACTAATCAAAACTAAAGATCTGCAGAGTAAGTTAAATTACTTAACTCATAACTGGCAGCTAAAAATTTATTTATTTTTATTCATATAAAACTATAGTAACTAAATAAAACAAACAATTCAAGGACAGTCCTTAGAACATTTTCCAACACATAGAGGAATTTCACAATATCGGCACATAAAGCAAGTTTCTCTCCTTATGCCGTGAACTTTGCATCGTTTCTGCGGATTTTTTCCCCGAACTTTTAAGTTTTACAAGCCTATGTGTTCTTATATCTCCTGAAAGTCAACTTGGTGGATCTTCACGAGAAGCTCTTTTTGATGGGCCTTCAGCAATTTTTGTTTCTAAACCCATATTTTCTTGATTTTAAACCCAACTTCTAGCAACTTCTAGTAAATAAGAGGTAAATTATATGTTTATGTGCCAAATTTATTTATTTTATTTAAAAAATATTCTGTTCATTTTTGAAGAGCCGATCTGTGTTTTCTGGCGTTTCATCATTATTACAAAAATGTAACGATTGCAATATTTGTCAAAACCTAACCTAACCTCTGAACTTCAAAGTGTTTTCGGAGCGCGAGCATTGAAGATGCCAAGTGAGATTTTAGCGAAACGTCTGCAGGATTCCAGTCGGAGTTCAACGAGCGAACGGATGATATCCCGGAATATAGTGTCATCATATATATATATATATATATATATATATATATATATATATATATATATATATATATATATATATATATATATATATATATATATATATATATATATATATATATATATATATATGCCCCATATATCAGTAGTTTAAATTCTAGATATTTTTTCCCGATTATTGAGATTTAACCGTTTTCGCTATATTTCAGTTTAAAAATAATTATCGTTTGATTTCTGGACAATTATTTAAAAAAACACGTAATATATATATATATATATATATATATATATATATATATATATATATATATATATATATATATATATATATATATATATATATATATATATATATATATATATATATTCTCACGTATTGATTCACGGATGGAAAAATGTGATGACACTATATTCCGGGATATCATCCGTTCGCTCGTTGAACTCCGACTGGAATCCTGCATCCGACTGGAATCCTGCAAATCTTGCATCCGACTGGAATCCTGCAGACGTTTCGCCAAAATCTCACTTGGCATCTTCAATGCTCGCGCTCCGAAAACACTTCGAACACTATGTATATATATATATATATATATATATATATATATATATATATATATATATATATATATATATATATATATATATATATATATATATATATATATATATATATATATATATATATATATATATATATATATATATATATATATATATATATATATATATATATATATATATATATATATATATATATATATATATATATATATATATATATATATATATATATATATATATATATATATATATATATATATATATATATATATATATATATATATATATATATATATATATATATATATATATATATATATATATATATATATATATATTGGTCTGTCGACCGCGTAACACCCTGTATACCACGTACTCCTCGCTGCGTCAGGTATCGGTCCGCCAGTTGAAGCCACAGCCGGCTTCTGAAGTCGGCGGGGATGCCTCCTGGTAACTGGGCCACCATTTTCATCGCTGCCACCCACTGGCTGAAGCCCGATTCGCCTTGGCCTGGTTCCATGGTGAAATGTATTCTGATCGCTTCATCGGTGACGTGGTTTTCTGAAAGGTTAGAATTAGGATTTACAATAGACCGTAATGGAACCAAAAGGCAACAGTGACAGGCAGAGCTGGATTTTGCCCCCCTCTGCTCTATTCGACAGGTCACACAACAAATTTTGATGTGAAAAGAAGAAAAACTGCCTATTTGAGTCATACATTTCGAAATTCCAAGTAGCAGTTCTTAAACCTTAGTATTATTAACACTCCAGAATTGTCGCCAACATCCACTGATTGGATAAGGCATCTTAAGAAGAAGAAGCTCTATTCGATGAGGCTTTGGAAAACGCAGCGATGGGGACAGTCGTAAATGGCAGATTGGCAAAAGATAATGAGGAATGTCTCAAATAATCGGTCATTTTCTTTTGGAGGACCAGTAGTTTGCGTGACACCTATAGGCTTACCCCCTTCCTTGCCCCTCCCAAAACAGCTTTATAAAACAACTTAAAGTCCATTTTTGCAATATCTATTTTTTTATATCTATTGTATTCTCAAAATTCGCTTGAGGACGAGGCCTAAATACATATTTGTTGAACGTTTTCATAAATTTTGGCAATCTGTAAATCAAAAACTCGCCATGAAACTGAGAGGAGAGGAATGAAAGAAACTATAGTGTTACTATTACATAAATACCTTAATATGTTTTTATAAAATAGGGAGGCAGAGATGTGCGGAAATTTATTTTTTAGGTGCGTTTATGAGACATATATAATTCATATAAAAAAAAACGTGATACCATTTTGTTCGATTCTTGACATAATAGAAGAAGAACACAGATTCAATCAAATAAAGTTCATGTGGAATCCAACAAACAAAATTAATATGTCCTTATTCATATAAATAAGCTGAACTTATCTCTATTAAGTTTATCCAAGGTATTTAGGTAGCCCCAAAACGGTAAGCAGAACTGGGACAGTTTTTTAAATATTTCTGCAGGAAAGCCGAGGTGTAACACCATTGCACATATTCAGACGCTGTGTCCGGTTACCATGGATATGTTTGCCCCGTGATTCAATTGTTTTTAGACGGTTCAAAGCCTGCTTGTTTAACGCTGCGGAAGAATAAAGACGGACTAAAAGAAGAAGAAGAAGAAGAAGAAGCAGATGAGAAGGAGAGACGGTACTTTATCTCAGAAGAAAAAGACAAATTAGAAGTCAAAGCAGAACCCTTATAGACGGGCACTCGCACAATATTAATAATTTTTATCATAAGCAAAACGCTAAGGCCCAGAAATATGGGGAGAAAAAACGACAGAGCATTGTCGAATCGGCCATATTTTGGTTTGTGGAAATTAGTACCATTATAAGATATATGCGGGGTCGATGGTCCCTTAGGAATTTGGTGCATACATTTTCTTTATTTTTCAACAAGCCACGGCACTAAAAGAAGAAGAAGAAGAATAATAGACAAAAATGGTTAAAAGTATTTTTTTTTGCAATTTTCAGAGATATGGCGACAAAAAACGACATAGCATTGGCGAATCGGCCATATGCGGGGTCGATGGTACTTTAGAAATTTGTTGTATATTATTGCAATAATACGCACCGACAGAGGATTTCGAGAAAATAATTATTTTCTTTATTTTTCCGATCAAAACTTAGCTGCAATCAAATACAATTAAGTTAGAACAAAAAATGCTCCGATTTTCACAGTTATTTGTTGGTTTATGACAGCCGTTTCGACAAAATATGAAAACATCCCGACATCTATACGGGGTGTTTTCTAATTAAATGCAGCAATTAATAACATCGTTCAATCTCTTCCAACGAGAGAAATCGATAGATATATTTAGACTTGCAAACGTAGTGACGTTTGTCATACAAGTCAGATTATGTCAGAAATGGTGAAAATTATATATGTCTATTGCAATGTACAGAGGAGTAAAATACATTATCTCGTTGGTTATGGAAGTTACGAGAAGATGCTAAATACTGGGTGGCTCAATAAAGGGAACATCCGATTTTTAAATTTTATTTTGGATGCCTGTTATATTTCTCCATTATTACAATTTTTCTCAAAACGACGTGCGCAAAATAAAGATTTTACAAACACCTACAACTCTCATTAATGTATGTCATATACCTATTAACTTTATTAACTTTCCCAATATTATCCGTCTTTCTGTCCAAGACATTGTCCGACTTTTACCAGACAAACGTAAATTTGATTATGATTCCAGACAATCTCTTCAATCTTTAATGGAACGGTTTGATGCTAGTTGGTAGCATTGAATAATAAAGACGGAAAATGGTAAACCAAAAAGAATTGGAAATTTTACTTCTAGAACGTAAACGTAAAAGTTCGAGAATTTTTAAATAATCGTTACCCAAAGAAATGGATCGGTAGAGGCGGATTGACGCCATTAAATTATTTTTCTTGACTGGAGATATCTTAATGATCGTGTTTACGGGAGTCTAACTACGATATCGGAAGATACGGAAACTAGGATTCTAGACTCGTGCAGAAAAATAAAGAGTATATGCTAAGGAATATCCAAGAAAATAAATATGTGTAAGCAGAATGGCATATTATTGAATATCTATTGCGTCATAATAATAATTAAAAATAAGATAAGTTAATTTGTAGCAATAGTAATAGCTAATACTATCGTCATGGACAACAGTAGATATAATACCTGCGTTCAACAGCAATTTCGGCCGTTTTTACACGTAAATTCCCATAAGAAAATTTAAGGTTCATTGTAGTTGAAATTGGTCCCGGTCAAGGTCATTCGATCCATACCCTCTTAGCACCAACTAACCGTCTCCCTCAACCCCAACCCCCTCCCGCAACCCCTCTCAAACCCTCCCACAACCGTCACCCCCCCCCCCCACCACCCCCTCAACCCTCACACCCCCATTTCACAACCCTCTCACAACCACTCAACAGATGTGTTAGTCAGGTGACTCACCTTTTTTTCGCGTCTACCGAGGATCGAACCCGGGATCCGTCGCTTGTCGACCGCAGACTTTAACGCCGAGCTAACGAGCATATTAAAACCAATGTGTAATTATGTGTTTGATCTCGAGAATGATGACTCATCTTATTCCTGCCGAAGATCGAACCCGAAATTCGTCCGTCGTTGAACGGTCACTTTAATGCCGAGCGAATTATGTACCGCCGGTTCCGTCTCGTTGCTGCTAGATGTCGTGCGTGCGCGCTCTTGACAGTATTCCTATCAGCGGCTGCGTCACCCCGGCAGGTGACGGAGACGCTAGGACGGGATGACGCGGTGATCGGGAGTATAGGATCGACGGTAAACAAGTCGAGTGAGTTATACATAGTGCCTTAATAATCAGGTACACCCGGTGTGTTCAAGTTTAATTAAAGAAAACTATATACAATAACAAATATTTATCCAGAAGGGTCTTCTTCTTCTTCTTTTGCGTCCACTTTGTCGTCCATAAACGATGTTCCTGCTGATGACGTTCTTGTTCCCGTTCTTTCAAGAAATCTATATAGGAAATACACTCCTCACCGTCTCCCTCTGTCGACCACCCACCCTGCTGGATGCGCCAACATAATGTGTGTGAAAGTTGCACACACATACCAACATTCACATTTCTACTTCTTGTCATTTAAAAGACATTAAAAACACTATATACTTCAATTTAATTTGATTATTTTTACAAGTAAAAACGCGGATTATTGTCAAACGGAGAAATCGTGTTTTTTCTAGAACAAACAAGAAACAAAATATGTATATGTCGCGTTGCCTATAAAACAGATTTTTTAAACAAAACTTTTAGTAAGTGACGTAAGTAAAGTCACATTTCTATTCCCTGTCATTTAAAGGATATTTAAAAAACACTATATATTTCAATTTAATTCGATTATTATGCAACGTAAAAAGTGGATTATTATATTGTAAAAACAGGTAGGAACTGACCAAAAAAGTGATCATTGTTTTTTTTTGTTATTCAAAAATCACTGAGAAAATTAACGAAAACTGAAACCCACAAAAACAAAACAAAAAAAAAGACTCGCACTGTATTAGGGTAAATTAAAATCATAAAACTTATCAGTTGTAGAGTCATAGGGAAATAGATACCGCACTTGACATTGCACTGAATATAGTCTACAATACACATTAAATATATTTATTCACATGTTCTCCCGTCCATGGTTAAATTAAAAATTAAAAATTGACTTAAAAATCGAAAGGCACACAAACGCATATTTGAATAAACACGCTGAACGTATGTTGTCACCAGAGAGCCATGCAGGTGGGAGTCTCAAGGTCCACGTGCTCAGACGGGAACGACTTGACGCACAACCGCCTCGGACGTGCAGTCTCCCGCATGCAATTTTAAAGCGTGTCGACTTTCACTTGACGTAATTTGGCAAAAAAAATTAACACCCAACAAAATTACTGATAGCACACGCAAATATATTTTGCGCCTTAAAAGCAAAGGCGATCCATCCGCCCACTAGGATATCACCGCACCGTAGTCTCTTATCTGCGGTTGCGAGGCATTGACATCGCAAATTGGTTCGAGATAAAGTTGAATATATTGAAAAATTGAATCCAATAGCACATTTAATCTTTAAATAAATGTCTTCTAGATTGATAAACACTTTTTCAAACTAGGCATTTTGCAAATCGGTCGTCTGTTTGCTGTTAACGGTAGACACGTACTATAGGTACTGGTTAGTTGCAAAATTAAAAACCAAATTTACAGGAGTCAAACTGTTTATTGACAGTGGAAAATATAATAAAAGTAGTTGGAGGTAATAAGCGAAAAATATTAAGGACTTCCGGTCATTTTTATTCTAAATATGCCCAAAATATAATGAAAAAGATCAAAATATTTAATGCATTTTTAAAATAAAAATTTAACGAGGCTGCCAGACGCGAACTGAGCCCTTAAGCGCACCTCATTCGATTTTTTTAGGAAAAAAACGAAATTTCAAAGCAAAACCGAAAACACATTTATAATCAAGCGGAGACAGTTTCTTCTTCCATAATCGAATAGTGACCCCACGGTAACGTTTCTACTGAC